AATAAGGTCGTTAATTAAACTCGACTTCCACCATATGAACTACATTGAACCCTTTACACCTGGTTGGTGAAAGGAATGGGAGTTTTATAAAGGTTTTACAGTTTTTTCAATTGTTTACATGCAATTTTGAAAACCGGGTTCTTTTTTTCAAAATATAATCACAATTATCCAAACACCACACTCAATTTGCATAATTCCTAGATTGTTTGCAAAATGACACACTTTAGTCAAAACACATACACATATTTGTGAAAATGCTATTAGTTTCCATTTAACCAACACAGTCCTCAATGATCAGACACTATTGCAGCCAGTTTCACACTGCTGTGATAAATAAAAAACACATTTTAGGAAATAGCATGTGCTAGATTTTTGGCCAGACATTGTTATGTAAGGGATAATTTAGATGTCATAAAAAATAGTGACAAACCCACAACATTCTTCATGATTAGTTTGAGATATAGGGAGAATGTACACAAATAGGCCTACTATAAACTTACCAAGCACTGCACAACACTGATGCTGCAGACTGAATATTTCAAGTATTTATTTCAATACTTACAGTATTTCTTACCATTATCAGTTACAGTAATCAACCAACAATGAAATCAATGAAACAAATAAAATCTGTAGACAAATAAAAATTACTGCATGAAGTACACACACTTTGACTCTGAAGAAAAACTACTGTAAAAGCAACAAGAATACTGTAACTATTCATCATCTCTCCGTCTGGCCGAGTGCTGCGTTTTCAAATTAGCACATGTGTGCTTCCACACCTGGTGGATGTGATTATCCAGTTTGTTCATTAGTGTGTTCATTGGCAGTCCGGGGCTTTGTAATGACGAGGAAGTAACCTCACAATCCTTATCTGTGTCTAAGGTGTGAAAATGTGTGTAGAGTTTTACAAATCACTGTGTGCAATGTTTAGCAAAAAGGGTGAAGCAGACATTGTGTGTAATGTTTTGCAAATCTGTGGAGGTGTTTTGCTCCTCGGAGTATAATTTTGCAAATTATGTGGAAATTTTTATTTTAGTGTGTAAACAATCGTAAAAATACTGTAAAGCAGAATAAACTGTGCATTATCGGTGGTGGCAGTATATATACAAGCTGTCATTAGACGACAGAATAAAGCCGCACACCCTCGAGGTTTGATGTTGTTGACCATTGAGGAGTGTTTACAGTAAACAAACGATATAAAACAACACATTGTCTTACTCAGAGTCGCTGTTGGTTCAAGCAGTCAGTCATTTAATGTGAACTGGATCTCCTGTGCAGGAACCTGAGTGGGTCAGCACTGTGTGTGTTGGTTAATAGTGTCAGTGGTTAGTGTCAGTCAGGGGCTTGAGTGGACTGTAGGGGTCCCAGCAAAAGAACAACTATAAGATTTTAACTTTTATCATATTTTTTGGAAGCTGGAACAACAAGGTAAGAAATAAGAGTTGGTCGTGTTGATTGATTGTAATTTATAGTGATCAGTTTGATCATTGATTGATTATGAGCACTTTCTGTCTTCAAACATAAAAATAAAAAATATACAAAAGTTTTATATTTGCATATCTGTATTTTAGCCTGTGCATAATGCCTCTCCTTTAATCCTGTTGTGCTATGTGCCACTGCAACGTAATTTCATTCTGATGCAAATCCAAATGATAAATAAAGTCTGTGGAGTCTAAAGGTTTATAAATGATTTCTTTTCAACATGTATATCAGGGGTCAGCGCGAACGCAGTCCCCCACTACCACAAATTATGCAGTCGAGATTCCCACATTTGGGGAATTCGTTAAGGTCAACCCAACCGGAGTGCAATGGTCAGGCCTCGCCCAAGGTGAACCACCTTCTTGATCATGGTATCTCCCCTGCCAGGTAAGTATGAGTTGTCCAGCTCAGAGACAGGGAGCTCTCTCACAGACACACCGTGTTAACTGATGGTGCTAATAATCGATATATTACTGAAACCAGAGGATGTAGAAGGTGAGTGAAACTGCAGAACAGAATACAGAAGATACAGTTTTCAACTAAAGCTGATAAAGATTATTTAGATTTTACTTGATATATAATGGTTATATTTCCCACAATGCAATGCTGTATCCCCACATCAACAGCTAACCTGAAATCAGCAGTTTGTTTCTATTTTACCTCCAACAAATGAACAACAGTCCAACAACAAGTTCAAGTGAGACAAAGCTGAATCAAACTGCAATCAGAGGCTGTTTGATCCACATTTACAATCCAGAAAAAAACAACTAAAAACACTAAAAACACTAAAAACACTTTTTCTCCCACACTTTACAACCACTTCCTGTTTCTTTGTCTCCCGGGCAACGGGGCCGTCCTGTTACTGCCACCTGCTGGTCTGGAGTGAATCAGGATTTTAACAATAAAGTTCAACAGCAACACAAACTGCAGCCTCTAAAATGATCATACAGTTGAATAATCACCTCTCTATAACTGTTTCAACACTAACCGAACATTATAACCTTCATCCAGCCGGTTTTTAGTACAGTATTGTTGTATTAAACTGCATTTTCTCAGCTTTTATTGGTCAATTTAAAACATTTCTGGTTGACTCCAACTCCAAAATAATTCTCCAGCTACGTTAATATTATGTGTAATCTGTGCAATGTAATTTACACAACTAAATAATGTGTTTTTAATCTCCGTCAGTTGTTTTAATGACGACCCGCTGGACTGCAGCGCCCCCCATTGGGTTGTACAGATAACAGCAGCTCTGTGAAGCATATTTCCCGTCCAATTAACTAAAAAGCTTTATTAAAAGTACTCAAATTCTCTTGAAATACATCATTATTGTCCGTATACGACATATACGATTCAGTATTAAGTCTTCCTAACCAGGTAAAAGTGCAGCCAGGCCCTTAATGCGACATTAACTACTAGAAAAAACCAAACGGGATGCGGCCCCATTGAGCTTTCATCTGTAATTAAAATGCAACTGAGCCAAAACACTTAAAATACTCGATAATAAAGTGCGCATTAATCATTTAACTGCATTTGCACAAGCTCTTCCACTTCCAATGAACACCTGAGGCTAAAAACAAGTGGGTCACCACCACCAAACTACCGCCAAACTCCTGCAGAGGCTCTGTTCTGTTGACACGAGACACATAACATGACCAAAAAAATATATCAACATACCCTGAAGACGTCCTGACGCCCAAAACACTTCTTTAAATCCAGATAAAAGTACATCTCCAGGTCCTTGTTAGTCCATCATCGTGACGTCCAGGTGGTGTTATGCAAATGAGCTGCACACGGCCCTCAGTGAGACCGCCAGGTAGCTCAGGGTCGTGTGCAGAGGTTACGTAATGTATCTTGAAACAAAATACCCCTAAAATAAATCTATTAAAATTAAAATACTGGATACTGCTAATGATTATTTTTTATTATTATTGATTAATCTGATCATTTTCTCATTTAATTGATTAGGTGTTTGATCCATAAAATATCCTTTATATGTCCACAAATGTCTTGTTTTGTCCGAAATTTAAAGATATTTATTTTACTCTCATTAACTGAAGTGAGAGAATTTGGACATAAAAACTAAATCAAAACTATTAATCAATTATCGAACTGGTTCCTGTTGAATGTAATAGTTGACAAATAATTGATTAATTGACTTTTGTCCACAACCCAAAACTATTTACTTTATGGTCATAGAGGACTAGTGTTGCGCAGTGAGGTATTACTAGTAATAACATTACTTTCCCCAGTAACTAGTAGTGTAACTTATTACTAATACATTTCAGTAATATTACAATTACCACAAAAAATAATTAGTTAGTTTAAGAAAGTATTGTAATATTTCAACTGATGCCATTTTGTAAAAGCAGCTAATTCAGAAGGCTATCACTTTGATGAGATTCAAACTGCAGCTTTGTGATCTAATGTACATTTATTAAGTAATTATCAGTGTTAACATTATGTATGATGTATTTTGGATTAATATCACAGCTGCATTAATGTGACTACTTTAGTTTAATCTACAGCAACACATCATATATAATAATAATAATAATAATAATAATAATAAGATAATCATTGTAATCTTAATATATAAAGTAAGCATAATTATTATACATCAACTTATTTATTTACTTACAAGTAATCATAATACTAATAACCTATTGTAGTGGCCATGAATGAAAGCAGTAACAGTAACAATAATAATAATAATAATAATAATAATAATAATAATAATAATAATAATAATAATTGGAAAAGTAAAATTAATAAAGATATATATATATATATATATATATAAAGAATGAACCAACACTGGGAGATTGATCATATGTCTGTATTAACTGTATTAATATTATTAATTTATTTTCCAGTTAATCAAAGAAGGTTTTTTACACTTTTAATTAGTTTATTAAGTTTAAGAAGTCGGAGAATCTTAATTTGTAATAAATATAAATATAATCTATACCGAGTAATTTTTAATTCCTGTAAAAGTAATCACACATTGTGTATCAATATAAAGAATAAGTAAAGTTAATATATAAACTTTAATATCTAAACTTTAATATATAAACTTTAATATATAAACTTTAATATATAAACTTTAATAAATAAACTTTAATAAATAAACTTTAATATCTAAACTTTAATAAATAAACTTTAATAAATAAACTTTAATATATAAACTTTAATAAATAAACTTTAATAAATAAACTTTAATAAATAAACTTTAATATATAAACTTTAATATATAAACTTTAATAAATAAACTTTAATAAATAAACTTTAATAAATAAACTTTAATATATAAACTTTAATATATAAACTTTAATAAATAAACTTTAATATATAAACTTTAATATATAAACTTTAATATATAAACTTTAATAAATAAACTTTAATATATAAACTTTAATAAATAAACTTTAATATATAAACTTTAATAAATAAACTTTAATATATAAACTTTAATATATAAACATCCGCCAGTGTAGTTTGAGCCTCGCCGAGCACCGTACCGGCTGTAGAGGAGGTGAGCCAGTCGTTGTTTATAGACTCAACCTGCAGTTCAACCTCTGTTATTGATATCTCTATAATATATTTATTATATTTATTGATTGATTATCTCCGCTGATCGATCCGGTAACCGGTTCAAACTGTTTGTGACACCGCTGCTAACAAGCTAGTTAGCGTTAGCATTAGTTAGCAGCCAGTGTAGGCTAACGTTAGCTCTCGTTAGCTCTCAGCAGCTAAAGTGAATCATTGATCTCTTGTTTCATTGATCTCTAAAGACTGCGGACTCTGACTGAAGGAGGAGATGTTGTCAGTTATTACCAGGTCGGCTCTCTCGAAATGTAAGTGACCGTGTGTTTGTGTGTTTGTTGTGTTTGTTGTGTTTTATTAAGTTACATAAACAATAATGTATGAATGTTCACAGTGCACCTGGTGTTAGACACACACACACACACACACACACACACACACACACACACACACACACACACACACACACACACAGACACACAGACACACACACACACACACACACACACACAGACACACACACACACACACACACACACACACACACACACACACACACACACACACACACACACACACACACACACACACACACAGACACACACACACACACAGACACACACACACACACACAGAAACACACACACAACACACACACACACACACACACACACACACACACACACACACACACAGACACACACACACACACACACACACACACACACACACACACAGACACACACACACACACACACACACACACACACACACACACACACACACACACACACACACACACACACACACAGACACACACACACACACACACACACACACACACACACACACAGGCTGTAACTGAACTAAAGCTGTGAATGTGGGTGAAAGGTCAGCAGAGCAGCTTAAAGGTTGTGTTCACACTGAAGGAGACAGTCAGGTGTTTTGTGTTGATGTGACTCAGATCAGGTTTTAAGAACAGGACACATCATATTGAACACAGAGCAGGTGTTTGACCTCAGTGTGAACAGATCTATCAGAAGGTTGTTTAAAAAAAACAAGAGTTAAAGTCTATAAAATGTCAGAAACTAGTAAAAAATAAGTTTAAAAATAGCTTTTTTTCACAACAGTCCCAAAAGAAAACAAATAAAAGCAGTGAATCCTGCTCAGAAGTTGGGAATATTTTAACTGCTACCGATTTATGTGATTGTTTCAGCTCCACTTTGCCACACCAGTGAATATAAACCTCTTCTACTTGGCACTACGCAGTGAGATCCTGCTCCTCTTCCTCCTGTGTGACACTGAATTTAAATCAATGTGTGTTCCTAGATTAAGTTTCAGGATGGTCAGTTTTTATTGACGTGCAGAATAAAACACCCTGCATGTCAGATATCTTGTTTCGTCCAACTAAGAGTTAAAAAATGCAAAGATAGTCAATCAGTCATCAACTTTAAAAGCTGGAATCAGAATATTTGCTAGTTTTCTGGTCCTGAAGCCATTTATTAACCTTGTTGCTCTCCTTCTTACTGTTACAGGGATATTCAGTCTCCTCCTGTTGTTGCAGTTGTTCTGGATGAACTCATTGTTATTATTCTGTCTCTTCTCTCTCCATCAGACAGCGGGTTGTGGCTGCCCAGTCAGGCTGCGGTCAGGGCCATGTCGTCTCCAGCCGGTCCCAGTCCTCCCTACACCACCCTGGCCATCAGTCACCCAGCGGAGTTCGTCACACACGTGGAGCTTCACCGTCCTAAGAAACTCAACGCCATGAACAAAGCTTTCTGGAGGCAGGTATCTCTTTAAATTTATGTGCAATCATTTTAATTAGCCACCAAGAAGTTGCTGTTAGTACCTGGATGTTGACTCTGATCTCCAGAATTACATTTTGCTTTAGAAAGTTGATATTGTTGTATAGAAAATCACTGCAAGAATGTGATTATTAAAATATACTTGTTTTTAATACGGTGGTGATTGATAACATATCCTGTGTGATTCAACTATTAGATAACCTCTCATTCTTATCTAAGTTATTCTCACAATATTTCATAGATGTGCTGTATTGTAACGTAACTAACAAACCTTGAAGGGGCACAAAAACACATATATTGGTACAAAAGATGAAGTAGAGTGGAACCAATCAACTTCACGCTCAGAAATAATCAATATCTATGCTAAACCATCACTAAACAATTAACAATTCATTCTTAACTCATGAACAGTGACTGTAATAATTCATACACACACACAAACTTTACTAAACTAACTACACTTAAATAATAACTACTGAACATACAAATTAGTGAATAATTAGTATAAGTAAATGTAACAAATACAGCAGTGAACAGTTAATGAATACTGCAGTGAACAGTTAATGAATACTGCAGTGAACAGTTAATGAATACTGCAGTGAACAGTTAATGAATACTGCAGCGAACAGTTAATGAATACTGCAGTGAACAGTTAATGAATACTGCAGTGAACAGTTAATGAATACTGCAGTGAACAGTTAATGAATACTGCAGTGAACAGTTAATAAATACTGCAGTGAACAGTTAATGAATACTGCAGTGAACAGTTAATGAATACAGCAGTGAACAGTTAATGAATACTGCAGTGAACAGTTAATGAATACTGCAGTGAACAGTTAATGAATACAGCAGTGAACAGTTAATGAATACTGCAGTGAACAGTTAATGAATACTGCAGTGAACAGTTAATGAATACTGCAGTGAACAGTTAATACAGCAGTGAACAGTTAATGAATACTGCAGTGAACAGTTAATGAATACTGCAGTGAACAGTTAATGAATACAGCAGTGAACAGTTAATGAATACTGCAGTGAACAGTTAATGAATACTGCAGTGAACAGTTAATGAATACTGCAGTGAACAGTTAATGAATACTGCAGTGAACAGTTAATGAATACTGCAGTGAACAGTTAATGAATACAGCAGTGAACAGTTAATGAATACAGCAGTGAACAGTTAATGAATACAGCAGTGAACAGTTAATGAATACAGCAGTGAACGAGTTAATGAATACTGCAGTGAACAGTTAATGAATACTGCAGTGAACTGTTAATGAATACTGCAGTGAACAGTTAATGAATCGCGTGAACATGCAGTGAACAGTTAATGAATACTGCAGTGAACAGTTAATGAATACTGCAGTGAACAGTTAATGAATAAACTTCGCAGTGAACAGTTAATAAATACAGCAGTGAACAGTTAATGAATACTGCAGTGAACAGTTAATGAATACTGCAGTGAACAGTTAATAAATACAGCAGTGAACAGTTAATGAATACAGCAGTGAACAGTTAATGAATACAGCAGTGAACAGTTAATGAATACAGCAGTGAACAGTTAATGAATACTGCAGTGAACAGTTAATGAATACAGCAGTGAACAGTTAATGAATACAGCAGTGAACAGTTAATGAATACAGCAGCGAACAGTTAATAAATACAGCAGTGAACAGTTAATGAATACTGTTAATAACAGTTAATACAGCAGTGAACAGTTAATGCATACTGCAGTGAACAGTTAATGAATACAGCAGTGAACAGTTAATGAATACTGTTAATGAACAGTTAATAAATACTGCAGTGAACAGTTAATGAATACTGCAGTGAACAGTTAATGAATACAGCAGTGAACAGTTAATGAATACTGCAGTGAACAGTTAATGAATACAGCAGCGAACAGTTAATGAATACAGCAGTGAACAGTTAATGAATACAGCAGTGAACAGTTAATGAATACAGCAGTGAACAGTTAATGAATACTGTTAATAACAGTTAATGAATACAGCAGTGAACAGTTAATACTGCAGTGAACAGTTAATGAATACTGCAGTGAACAGTTAATGAATACTGCAGTGAACAGTTAGAAACTCAGGCGTGGCGTCAATCTGGTTAACATCAGCACAGCTCCACCATGCCTGGTCTGTCGCTGATGCGTACTTGACCTTGCTCTCGTGTTTTAATATGTGTTTTAATATGTGTAGTCATGTATGGGTGTTTATTATTTCTACTGTGGCAAAATCAATTACCCTTCAGGGACGAATACAGAGTTACAGGTGGGTCCAGAAGTCGACTGCACAGGCAGCAGGAGATTCTACTTTTGTTACAGTCTTCTGTCAACGACACAAAGCTTCACTCCTCTGTGTTCTGCTTTTTCATGTTATTATTACATATTTAAAAAATCAACAAAGCTACAAATGACTTCACCAAATATTAAAAGATGTTAAAGATATTAAATAACTGACCGAAAGAGCAGCTCTCCTTACTAAAGCACCTCTTTTTTGTCCCGAAACACAAAAATGATATTAAAATAATGTTAAAAAGTGAACCACTGGAGTCAATAATTGAAGCACACACAAAAGTATTAATTGAACAGTTGACACAAACACTAACAGAAACCTTTGTTTCTCTGGCAGTGAGATGGTGGATTGCTTTAATGAGATCGCTGGGAACCCAGAATGCAGAGTGGTGGTGGTTTCTGGAGCGGGGAAGATCTTCACAGCCGGTCGGTATCAGACTTGTTAATGTGCTTTAATGACGCCGTCTTCGTGGTAAAGTTGCATTTATTCTCTCTGTGTTGTGTTACTGTCCAGGTATCGACCTGATGGACATGGCCAGCGACATACTCCAACCAGAGGGCGACGACACGGCTCGAGTTTCCTGGAACCTCCGGAAAATAATCACCAAGTATCAGGAGACGTTCTCCGTTATAGAGAAGGTCAGAAGCTGTTTATCACACTAATGTTACATAACTTGATAAGATTGGACAGTCAGAGGTGTGATTTTGTATTTGGACAGTATTGAAAATGTTGTTAGTGTGTTTTTTAATTATTGATTAGTGTTTTCTTCTTTGTAGTGTCCAAAGCCTGTTGTAGTGGCCGTCCATGGATCCTGTATTGGTGGAGGTAGAACATCATCTCGCACTATTAAAGCATAACAATAAGGTTTTAAATTCAAAAGTATCACAAAGTGGGTGACAGTGGGTTGGCCGAGTCTGAATAAAATAAACAGCTGAAATGACAAGTAGTAAATAACAATAGAGACATTTTTGTCGATCAGAAGAAGCACTTTGCTTTATATTAGAATTATATCAGAGGAAAAAAATGTTCAATGTTCTCCTCACTGAGATAATTGTTAAGAAATCCTTTTTATTTTTCATAATTACTCTAAACTACCGAACATGACAATATTATCTGTATTTAAAAAGCCTGATACAATAGACTTACTTGGTCTTGTGTTTAATATTTGAATGTGGTCCATGTTTCTGCAGCTTTTAATATTTGAATGTGGTCCATGTTTCTGCAGCTTCTGCTTTCCCAGTTTAGGGATTATTCTGTATTTATTTCACCTGGCTGAATATCACTATATTGCTTTTTACCTTTTATCACATGAGGTATCCCACTCGTAAACCTGATGATGTTTCCTGTAATTAACATCCGCTGCCTCTTTCATTAGATTAGAAAACCCCAGAGTTTACTGAAGCAGTTGATCCCTAGTTATTCAGGACAGCCAGTGTTAGACTCAATGAAACAGGTAACCCAGAGACAGACAGGTGAAGTAGAACTTGCTTTGTGATGTTGGATGAGGTTGCCCACAGTCAGTGTTTATCTGCATGGAAAAGAGTTGTTAAGTCTCGCATATCAATATGACTACTGCAGTTTGTAATCAATTAGATACGTAAGCCATCATAAGATTGTACTGGTGGTTTCAGAGGAGGTTGTGTATACATTGGTAGAGGAAAGAAGTGAAGTGGCATGTTCTCTGTGGCAGGTGTTGACCTGATCACAGCCTGTGACATTCGCCTGTGTACCCAGGACACCTGGTTCCAGGTAAAGGTATGTATGTCTCCTTCTAATCTTCAGGATCTGGAAATGTGGTGAGGAAAATGGAGAATAAAATAATGATTAAGACAAAAAAATAAAAGAGTAAATAGAGTAAAATTTAAAATGAGTGTAAAAAAGTATCCATAGAGCCCTTTCTGTAGTAAAGGTGAAGAAATCTTGTAGCTGATGTTCTGATATTGTCTGTCTGATGTTACCGCAGTCTCAGTGTCTTTCTGGTTCGCTTTACAGGAAGTTGATATTGGACTTGCAGCAGACGTTGGGACTCTCCAGAGACTTCCTAAAGTCATCGGCAGCTCCAGGTAAAAAGGATTATTATCTGTAGAGCACTCATACAAACAACATGTAACACAAAGTGCTCCACACATTACAACTGAGTTTCCTGTAGCTTTAAAGTTTAATGTTTAACACCCCCTTTAAGTATGAAGTCCATACTGTTGTCATGTGATTAACTCTCCCACTTTCTACAGTCTAGTGAACGAGTTGGCTCTGACCGCCAGGAAGTTGTACGCCGACGAAGCCAAAAGCAGCGGACTCGTCAGGTATCAAGCGTCCTCTCGCCATCTACAGAATCCTCCACTGACACACGTGGTATTAAATAGTATTTTTACTGAATCTGAGCTGAAGACAGGTCTCTCATTTTGAAATCCTCCCCCAGCCGAGTGTTTACAGATAAGGAGGCCATGATGGCAGGAGCCCTGGAGATTGCTGGGGAGATTGCTGCCCGGAGCCCTGTCGCTGTGCAGGGCACCAAAATCAACCTCATCTATGCCAGAGACCACAGCGTAGCAGAAGGACTCGACTACATGGTGAGAACATCAACCTTTATTAAACAAACAAACATGAAAACAGGGAGGAGGATCTTTGAACATTAAATTCCTTCACTCCCTTTTATCCAGGCGAACTGGAACATGAGCATGCTTCAGACTCAAGATGTGATGAAATCAGCGCAGGCCGCGATGGAGAAGAAGAGCCCCAAGACGATCGTTTTCTCCAAACTCTGAAACGTCACTGAGCCAAAGTTCACACACACAAACACAAAAGCTGCCATGTTATTTCTCCATTGTGGCCTTTCTGTGGGAACGGGAACTACATCGTAACACGATCTCTATTATTATTGTTGTTTGGCCTCTGAAACAGCATTTTGATAACTTTGGAACAATAAATCAACCATGTGTGGAGCCAGAATCATAACGTAGTTCAGGTTGACCTCTTAAACTGTGATATATAATAATGGATGAGTTAATTCTGAACTGACCTCACTTTCACAGCTCATTTCTGTAAACAAAAAAAAAAGGTTATGTATATCTTTAAATGACTTAATGAATGTTTTCTTATTAAATAAACTTATCTGAAAGTCCGTGTTTGCTAAAATAATGTTGTAACAGAAGTGCTAATATTTAACAAAATGGAGTGCATTTATAAATAAAATGCTTTATTGATAAAACTACAAAATAACTTATTTAAGTTTTCTGTGAAGAGAAGGTAGAAAAAAAACTCTTATAAAGCTAACATAGTTTAACTACAGTTCTGTATAATGTATCTTTATTATTCGAATCCGACCGTTAAATGGCAGTTATTTATCGACGGCGCATGCGCAGTTCTCTGCTCAGCGTCAATCGATACTTTCGCTAAAAACACGCCAATAGTCGATATTATTATATTACAATTTGTTTGGAAAGATTGATAATTTATTTTACATTGGTCGAATATTTGTTCACATAATAACTGTAATACATTTTAAAAAGCTTGTGGCGAACTTGCGATTTTGGGAAGAAGAAAAAAACGTTTAATGTCATTTAAAGCGTGACACAGACATCCCCAACTTTTTTAATTTTCTAAATGAAAATTGACTGTTGTTGACTCACGGATTCCCCAAATGGGAATCGACTGATAATTTGTGGTAGTGGGGCAGCGGCTGCCCGATATACATGTTGAATAATAAACTCTGGGGGAGAGAAGTTGTTTTTTTTTGATTGGTGAAATGTTATGTTGTGTATGAACTTATTTATTTAGTGTGAACTGGCAGTAGACTTGGCTGTGAGTGTGTGTGTGTGTGTGTGTGAGTGTGTGTGTGTGTGTGTGTGTGGTGTGTGAGGCTAACTGCTGTATTTTGTGTTGTGATTGAAAAATGATCACTGGAAAATAAAACAGTGGCATTCTCTGCTGACAATACAAACACCAACTTTTGGCGGGCTGAATAAGGTGGGGAGAGTCAATGTCCACACCAAAGTGAAGAAAGCACTGCAGCGGGAGGTGACTGGCCTGGGTTGTCCTGGCAACATCATCCATAATGCAACCAAAACAGCTATGGATACCCTTCCCATTGATGTAGAGTACCTGCTCACAAAGATATTTGGGTATTTTCATATTTACACTGTTAGAGTGGAAAGATTGAAGAGCTTTTGTGAATTTGTTGGCCACGAGTATCAGAACATCTTAGGACACAGCAACGTTCGCCGACTGTCCATGCTCCCTGCTCCCTGCTCTACAAAGAGTGCTTAAAATGTTTGCACCACTTAAAGCCTTTTTTCTGTCTGAAGAATGTTTGAAGATCCACTGACTGAACTGTGGCTTGCCTTTGCCCGTGGAAACCTTGGCCATATTTAGTGAAACGATCAAGAAGCTTGAAGGCCAGGACCGCTGTGCTGTGGAGTCAGCTGCAATCCGGAGAGAGGTGGAGGTAAAACTGACAGCAAGATGTGACGACAGCTTCATTCCAGTACTGGCCAGAGGACTGCTGGGGGAGCTCGTGGAAAATGCAACAAATGCTGGAGAAAACGTTCTCAAAACAACTCACTCTTTCTTCACAACGGCTGTGGACTACTTGCAAGCTTGGGGAAAGCACACAGACAATTTAAATTGGTTTTAAAAAAGAAACCTCTGCGGGAAGAGATCCAGAAGGCAACAGCCACACAGCAGGAGAAGTGCCCCAATGTGACGATCAAAGAAGATGATTTGTTTGAGGTTTCTGCGCTGCAAGAGTTCCTAAAGGGAGAATCACTCAGAGATGGAGCACAGTATTTACCCACTTCAAAGAAAATGACATCCCGCACATTAACCCGGCAAGATTAGTGTCTGTTGTCATGTGCTTACCCGGCAGTAATGCACCAGTGGAGAGGGTGTTCTCTCAAATGAATGATGTATGGACAGACAGCAGAAATAGTTCACTGTTCCTTCCATCAAGGCCATTCTTATGGTTCAGACAAACATCAACCTCCCTTGTGAGAAGTTCATGGAGATGCTGGCCAAAGACAGAGCCATCCAGAAGAAAATACATTCTTCTGAGAAATATGCAAGTCAGGTAAGGAGAGGGAGGGAGAGAAAGAGCGAATGAGGGAGAGTGAGAGACAGAGAGATAAAGTGAGAGAGGAGAAACAGATAATATATGAGCCCAGTGTCTATACTGGAACTGTGAATGTAGTCTGTCCTCGCTGATGCTGTTGCTCGGGACATAGTGGTACACGGTCTGAAAGGTTGAGGAACCTCTGATGTAGCACATTTCAAACAGAGGCAATTACACAGAGCAGATAAAAAAAGAGCACGATGACTAAATTATATTATTATATCCCCAAAACTGATGTTATTTCTTTAAGAAACAAACGATTACTATTGGCTCTGTTCTTATTCTACCCAGGCTCCTGAGGCGGAGGGGGGATGAATGAGGGGATCACGGTAATGTCACACATTTTTTTGATTGCCAATATGAAGTTCAGTATTCAGTTGTGAGTAGAAACCTTTGACCAACAAATCCATCCTACCTCAAGATATTGTTGTCTTCCTGTGGATGGATGGTTGGTGATTGTACTCAGGCCCACAGTTCACACATTACATGATCCACTTACATCTTTTTTATATGTTTTGACTTATCATTAATTACATCTTGATGATATTTACTAGCTACTGGTCTGACAGCTGTCTTTGCACATGACACTTAACTTTGGATGTATTATTCTATATTTGTGTTTAGGACACTGCTTTACTGATACATGATATTTGTGAGTGCTGACATTTTGGTTTATGAACCTTTTGCAGGGGTCCATAGAGGATAGAGGCCAACCTTTATCTCTTGTGTAATAAAAGCTGGTTAAAATACATGAAAAAGTACTTTTTATTTCATAATGATAATATTTAAGAAGTTCCTTTAATAGTGTTGTAACCGTTAGGAACAGGAAGGAAGCTCCATTTGTAAACTAACGTTACATGATGTTATTGTGGAGTCGTTGTATCCGGACAAAGAGTCAGCAGTTGATGATGATGATGATGAAGATGTGGACGATATTCAGCCGCAGGGTGCAGTTCTCTCTGTTCTCCATTAGAGGGAGTTAACAGATCAGACATTGTGTTTTACTCTCAGAGAGGACTTTTATAGGATTTAAACTTTATTTTATCGCTGTATGATTCATATGATGTTAGTTTGATTTAAAATAGAAGTTACAGCTCTCTTTCTGACAATAACACAGCGGAACGTTTCCACTTCCTATTGGACCACATTGTGTCACATGACCCGGAAGCGCTGTGAATCGCGGTTGCTCCGACAACCGTATTTTGTTAAACTTCCACATTTGACGCTGATTTGTCCCCTTTTACTGATTGACTGTGTGTTCTATATCTATATTAATATCTCTATCTAACACACAGTGAATCATATATCTATCTGTTAGTGAAGCATTCATTAACACCGTCAGTGAGGGTCCCGGTGCGGAGAAAGAGCTCCGTACCTCCGACTGTAGTTCAGTATCGCTTCTCGGCCTTTTGGCTAAGATCAAGTGTAGTATCTGTTCTTATCAGTTTAATATCTGATACGTCCCCTACCCGGGGACCATATATTAAATTGATTTTTGGAACTGGGAGATGGAATAGGGGCTTGCTCCGTCCACTCCACGCATCGACCTGGTATTGCAGTACTTCCAGGACCGGTGCACCCCCCCTCTGATTGTCTAATGATAAATATATTGATCTATAATCGATACTATCAATCTTGCTATCACACTCACTCTGATGGACACATGTATTGCAGTTGTCGCTACATTTATATATTTACACATTAAGACTATTATAGCTGTTCTGTGACATTATAACCATGTATTATTTATATTCTTATAAGTACATTAAAGTACAAATTATTTTCCCTGTGTAATTATATTTATTTACACTGTAATTTCCTCCTGCTGTGATATTTGTGCAATGTTATTTACAGATTTATTTAGTGTAACACTATTCAATAAGTTGTGCATTAGTTCCATCAAACATTTAAAATGAGTATAAAGTATATATATTTTCTATTTCTAGTTTGTGTATTTTATGTGTATCTGGAGCTGCTGTAACAACACATTTCACCGGTGTGTGATCAATAATGTTTATCATATCTTATGTTATTGGAAAGGGAAATGTGAACAAAACTGTTCTGTTAGTCCACACACACACACACACACACACACACACACACACACACACACACACACCACACATATTCTCTTACTCACACACACACACACACACACACACACACACACACACTAAAGGACACGCACTACATTTTACGTTGATTTTTTTTATTTTCTTAGAACAAAACAATTCTCCATCTGCATACATGGAGACGCAGAATTGAACAAGTAGCAATTAAAATAACGCAAAAAGAAGAAAAAAAAAAAAGGTGAGCTATAATAAAAGTTTCAAAAGACAAATCTTTTACAAAAAAAACCACGTCGTCACTGCCACTGAACCACCTGAGCATATATAACACTAATTCTTTCAAATATGCTTTCTCATATACGTCAGGTTACTGTATAAGCATAATACAAAAAGTAAAAAGGACAACTTAATATTGAAGACACACACAGGTACTGATACTCTATCGACCACATCTGGGGCATAAATATCAAAATATGTAAATGCTTGTTAGCATTTGTTAAGTCGGCTTTTTAAGGGTCGTCGTGAAAAGATGTTATTTCACAGTATTTAAGGTGGTTTTGAAAATCTAAATTCCCCCCCCGGTGTGTTGCAAGCAGTCATGGTCAAAAGTACATGTGAACGTGGGAATGGTGGACCGATCTTCGTCTTCCTGGCTACAAGGGTTTCGCGCTCAGTTGGCGTGCTGAACGGTGGAGAAGCACAATTTGAGGGTGTAAGGGTAAGGACCAGCTAGAAAGAGAGGAGAGACAACAACAATAAATTAATGGGGGAACAAAAAACAAAACCAAAAGGATGAATCGTTAGTTTAAAGTCTGCTGTACCCGCATGTGAAGATGTGAGGGTCTTGCACGTACCCGCGTTTTTCATCTGGTAGTGGTTCATCAGGGCCAGCGCCTCCATGGCGTCATTGATGGACTCCCACTCTAACAGACCAGAGGCACTGCGGTCACTGGGAGCGGCGCCACCTGGTGGTGAGGAGTCAAAGTTACAACACAGCTTCCAGACAGAGAAACATTACTGTGTGTACAGGGTGGATATCTTTATAAAATGTTTGTCGATGTGGAGCCTGATTTTAAAAACACTAATAATACTGTTCAGTACTTCATCTGATAAATGTGTCTTAGTTGCTTTTATATCTTTTGAAGGATTCCAGATGTAACAGCAGCCACATTTGATCTTAACTACAACTTTTATATATGTATGTTCATACATCATATCACTTACTCTTTCCTGTGAACATTTTGACGTTGACGGGGCACTTGACGCCGATCTCATCACAGATCTGTAAAGAGAAAAGCATTTTTAAAAATATTATTATTATTATTATTATTATTATTATGATTATTATGATGGACTTGCACTTTAAATGCTTTTATTCTGACAGTCAAAGAAACACACACATTCCAATCAAATACAGTCAGCTGCGATAAGAATTGTTTTGCTCCAGCTGTCTTTAATAAAAACATTGCTGGTAATGATGCGTCAGTTTAAAGTAAACAGTTATCCTCACGTGAGACTCAAAGCATAACCGTCACACCCGTATGTCTTCCCTTTCTACACACCTGGGAGAAGACCTCTGGCGTGACGTCTGGCTGGGCGTTGAAGAAGTGCAACACGTTGCTCGGGTGCTGAATGCGGTTTTTGGCCGCCTGTTCTGGTGAAGTGAACCGGTTGTTCCTGGACCCGTGGAAGTCCTTGAAACTACTTGTGCCGTCCTCCAGCTCATAACACTGACCAGGTACAATGGCTTGCTGCTTGGACACACTGCAGGGAGGGACGGTTATCAGTTTTAAAAATCACACACACCAAGAATAGCACTAATTTAAAGGCTCCAGCATGTTTTTGGATGGGTTGAACTCACCACACATTCATTCTCTGTCCAAAGAGAAAGTTGTTGTTGAGGTGAGTGATGGCGCGGTCCACTGCATAGCAGTCTCCCATTTCCACCATAGCTGCCCCCGGCTTACTCTTCATGAACTTCACCTACAGAGTGACAGAAGACAGGATTGACCAGTGCTCTCCCATACAGTACCACCCTACGCTTAAGGGCTTCACTTGTACACACAAACTGGTTACAGTTCATGGCTTGGAGCAAGGGTGTGTGTACTGAGTCAATATCTTTCACTTTGAAAATGCAACAAAGCTCCACCCATGACATTTGAAAACCTGCTTCATTCGTGGTTTATAAAGCTGCATGTTAAGAGTCGTTTTCAGTTCATAATCCCTTGTTTTAATCGAAATGTTACATTTAACAGCCTGTTATTTCATGCCAGAGATTAAGTAAAAAAAACAGATTAAAGAGCAGTCCTATTTTTAAAGCAGCTATTCATAGAAACATTGCAACAAAAATAGCAATGACAGCAGGAATAAATGGGATTTAAATGAATGATATGAAAAACAAAGAAACTTTCTATAAACAGAAATTACAAAATGCAATTTACTGATTCCCTGAAGATCTGGACCAAATATAAATTTGCTTCTTCACATGAATATTCTGCACAATATATATATATTTTTTAATACTGACCCGCTCTACATTGCCATAGAGACAAAAGATATTGAAAACACGGTCGGCGTTCATCTTGACGGGGTCCAAGCCGTACAACATGACAACTGGAGACTCAGCGTGGCCGCCATACTCGCCGGGAGGAGGGGGAGGAGGTCCGTAGCCCGGCCCGTAGCTTCTTCCCCCACGCCCTCTCATCGGTGGACCCATGCGGCGGCCCTCATAGGGCGGAGATCCATAGCTTTCATCGTAGCCATGGTAACCACCTCCTGAAGAACGAGGCAGAGAGCAGACAATAAACTAGTGATAAGGCCAAGGTGAGGAGAGTTTTTCTACAAAACTGCCACAGAAATAGATTTGGTCTCTCGATCATAAATACAGGATATAAAGAGGCATTCGTGTTTTACTACATTCTGTTGTTCCTTCAGGAGTGAGAGCCTTACCGTACTCGGGAGGGTGGTCGCCCAGCAGAGCAGGCTGTCTCTGGCGCTTGTTGGGGTTGGCATTTACATCTTCTATTAGAGTGGGAAGACAAAAAAAAAGGAGGAGGAGAGAGGCAGAGAAAAGAAAAAAAAAGTGACAGATAAATATGAGAAGAGACTGGAAACAGGACTCTACATGATAATGGGATGCATACGGCATCATGGCAAACATTTTGATGCCAAAAAAAAAAAAAAAAAAAATCAGATTGCACACCATAAAGTAGATTTATCAAGGACTTCAATCAACATTAGTGCTTGAGACAGATTCATGCATTTCTAGATTGATTCATCTTGGCTGTAAGCCATACCCCCCCTCCCATATTACACTCCAGGCAGGCTACAACAAATCAAACCAAGTAGCTAAAATCAGTGATTGACCTTGGTCTGTATTAAAATTAGTTCAGGGAATTGGGAAGGGAGGCATGGGGATGTAAAAGATGGCAAGACTGATATTAGGTTCTATGGAAGTTACTCTACAAACACAAGCTCTTTAAAATCAGAAAACAATGGTAACCCTTTAGTAAATAAAGTAGAACTGGGGAAATGGCAAACATGAGGTGGATGCTGATGATCTAGGAAGTGAAAGGGGGTAAGGATATCAAACACACTCTGGATAAGCATCACAAATGATAAAGTTTGTACGCTCACACACACCTGCATTGCTCCCATTGCCATCTGCATCACCATCTGTACAGGTACACAATAATCATACACAATCAGAATGGAAGTCGGGTTAATCAACGGTACATTTTTTCCCGGGCAAATGTGAAATTAACCCAGTTAAATGTCAGGAGAGTGTAATAAAACCACTCATGACAACGCTGTCTGTCCTCATTCGGGAGGTATTTCAGGATAAATGCAGACAAAAATTGACTATGAAATGCAAATGGCTTGGTACCTCTGCAGGTGACCAACCAGGCTCATGCAAAATATCAAAAGGCAGCTGGTAAACTTTGGACACCAGCAGCCACTGTGGCTGGAGGATGAGAAGCTCTCCTGACTTTACAGGTATGTGATGCTTTGTAATAAACAGGGTTGGTCATGGATCAACCACATCCTACAGGAATTAATAAAGTTCATACCCTTTTCTCCAGATTAAAAACATGATTTAATTCCCAAAAGAAACTATCCCAGAAGTCCAGGGAGCCACAGAAAAAGATTTCTTATGGCTGTAAACTGCCGACAGAGGGAGCGACAAGGCATAGCGAACAGACATACAGTAGGTTAGAGTGACATTAGAAATACAGTCTCAGAAAGAACCACAACCATCACCCTCTTCCAGCAAGAGCAAGATTAAGCCTGTATGAGGAAAAAAAAAATCGAGTCATGTCAGTCTTGTGTGGCGATGTTGGGTGCTGGGCTTTGGAGTCATGTGGTGCTGTGCAGTTATGTTCCCCTGAGGAGGGTCTCGATTTACTTACTGCATGCTTACAAACAGTGGGAGGAAGATATTTGCTGCAGTAGTTCCACCACTCAATTCATTTTCATCCCATACTCCTATCCATTTCCTCTTTTGGGGAAACAACTCTCCACCTCAGGACCGATTCCTGGTTTTATCAAGTTGAAACGCCCCATTGGTGGCATGGTTGGCCGTTTGGTTGGTGTTTTCCATCCTTATGTGTTGCTTTTTGGAATAGTCCGCTTAGCGCCCACTGGTAGGCCTTGAGGCTGCCATAGAGAACATTTCAGTTGGGGGAAGCTGGCTCCTCTTAGCCGCAAATTGCCAAACCTGCATCACATGGAAGGTGTTACACAGGTTCTAGAGACTTTAAAATATTAAGAAAAAAAACTGCACTCAAAAAAAAAAAAAAAAAGGGATAGCTAAACAGGGATGCATGTAGTAAGAAAATCAGAGAGGGTAAAAGATGAGGAGATGAGGAGAAAGAGCAAGAGAGAAAAGCTGAATTCCATGTGGGAGGAAACACATAACGGGGTAAAACCAAAAATGGGCCTGAGTGTGCTTGATGGTGTTGTCAGCAGTGTCTTCATCAGTTGTCTTGTGTTGGCTCCAATGTGACTGGCTACAGCTTGATTCGGGGGTGGGGTGGGGGGGGGGGGGTGGGGGTGTGAGTCATCTATTGGATCAGTCGGTACGGCGTCAGCGAGTGTGTTGCTTGAATGTGTTGTTTTTCGTGTCAACAAGCGTAACAAGCAACGCGGCCCAAAACAGTACAGGAAGGGCCGAGGCTTTTAAAACATGTGATCTTCGACTGGTTAGTATCAGTATGCATCGTCTGTTGTACTGAGATGTCTGTCACTACCTTCTGTTTGGGTGGATACTGTGTCTTCTCTGGTATCAGTCTCCATTTGGTGTAGACAGTGGGGTGGGAACAAGCTTTGGCCTGCTTCAATGTGTCATTCGCTTATGTCTCAAAGTGGGTAAGAAAGGATGACGGGGCAAAAGGGGGGGAGGGACCAAGTGTAGCTCAGTGCCCAAAACTCCCCGCCCTTAAAGAAGTGTACGTTGTCTTCGTGGCTCTTGTGCTGGAATGCGGAGATGAGGAATTAGTGGTATATCAGTCCTACATCGTCATGTTGAATGGGTGGTGTCTTGCTGTTTATCTCCTTGTGTCTCAGGGGACAACTGGCCCTCTGTATGATAGTGGTGGACTGAAGAAGTGGATACTTGAGATGGTGGTAGCTGATAGGTGATGTTGTCAGCATGTATCTGCCTCTCCCTCAAGCACAAACTCCTGTGCATGTTTTTGTTTTTGCTGAGATCAAAAGACTGATTAGCAGAAGATAAGAGTTACACGATGGTGCAGATAGCCTGTTTACTGATGCTGGTCCATGCCTCTGCTCGCACTTGTCAGACATCCTCACATCTTAACATACGAGTTACAAATAAAGGAGTACAGATTTGAATATCAAATCTTTTTTGGTTGTGACTACAAGTGCTAGACTTCAGTACGCTGTTGGTGTTTTCTGTCAAAGTTAAACAACACACAACCAAATGGGAGAAGCCAGTAGGCAGTGGAAAAGACCAGAATCAGCATTGGTGGCAGGGAAATGTGTTTCCAGTGACGGCTTTTAAAGTTAATGTTAGCTACATGTTGCCAAAACTGTGGAGATTAGTAATACTGCTATCACCCAAAGGATCCCCAAAACCCTGCATAATGTCCAGGTGTGGTAAGAAGGGCAGGAACAGCAAACAAGAAAACTTTGCATGCAACAGTCCCCTGTCTTCATGACTGAAATATGTAAACAGGACTCTTCGGGGTGACAGAAGGACACTCGGAGGTGTGTTCATCAGACAACAGAGCTTCTGTCTTCTGTCTCAGAACAATGCTTTACCTGTCTACAGAATGTACACTGTCACGGGTAGTTACCTTTTCACACACTACCTAATGCACGGTTTACAGCAGTGTCGAAGAGAGTATAAACCAGCCTGTATGAGGAGGAGGTTCAGATCCTCAATAATCACAGCTCAGGTGCTGAAACAGGAATCACAGTCCAATAAATTACAGCTGCAGCTACAGTCTGTTTTTATGACTGGAGACTGACTGGCTACGTAACTTTAACCAGCAGTTATGAGAGAGTTTGTGTCACATTATCTACAACTAACAGTAACACAGAATATTTAATAGATATGATGGTTTAAGTCATTATGTGGAGGTTTCATCTTGTGTGCTAGAATTTAAAATTAGGAGTGAATAATTGTGCTGTTAAATGAGTCAAAGCTAAAATTAAATATTGTTAGCGATTTACAATTACACTCCCCCAGAATTAAACAATACAAGCCACCTTCCTTCTGATATTTAATTTTAACTTCTGCCATTTATTTTTCCCTTATTGAATTTATGTATTTTTACTTTCCCCTCTCTATATAATTTCTTCCTGGTAACTATGAGGGGAAGAGAGGTAGAGAAAAGGGTCTGGGGGGAAAAAATGTCATTACATTTATTATATTTCTGCCTTTATAATGGAAATATCAGAGATTTGTCCCAGTGTGAGGACGGTAAACGGGCACATTCAGGTCACGTGAACCAGAACATCTACATGCCATAAGTGTACAGACCGTTTCCAGACATCGCGTCATCATAAAGCCTTTCAGTAATGTAACAAATTGTACACTTCACGTGTTTTTATGTTGCCTGCCAGTCATCTTAATGTGTTCCTGCCATTCCCACCACACTGCAGAGTTTGACATTTTAAATATTCCCATCATGCCTCTGATTTTCCATAAATGTTTGCTCCTGCACATGAACCCTGATCATAGTGTGTATCGAGAAGTGTCAGGACCCAAAGTAACACTTCAGTCATAATGCCACACAAGTTCTTCCCAAAATACTATTAGTATATTGGACACAATTAAAAAAATATATATACATTTAGTAGCATTATCAGTGAAGCGTGTTGCCTCCATCTTCCCAGTAGCCCCGCTTGCTGAAACTCCTCACAGTGGCAGTAAGGGTGCTTTACAGTATCAGGCTCTTAAGCAACAAAGCGTGTACGGTGCTCAGCAGATGCTCTAAATGTGTTCAGGTGTTTAAGGTTTTACCTGGTCCTCCCAGATTGGGGTTTGTGTAGTCCCAGGTGTCTTGGTCATTCTTGAACACATTCAGGCGAGTTGGCTGCGGAAATACAATTTATATGAATATATTATTATATATATTTATACTGCAACTTTAGAGCTGTGTTTTAACTGTCAGGGTGACCCAGATAAATATATATCTTTTCAGAGTAAGGCTGCATACAAACTGCTGCAGTTCTCAGCTACGCAAATAAAGATTGGTCCATTTCATCGTAACTGGATTTACCATTTAAAAAGATTATTGTGGAAACAATAACATTTCTGTGCCCACCACACCCCATTATGTATATGAACACTGTGGCGTGCTCTGCAGTAATACCTTGGCGTACTCGATCTTCAGCGTGCAGCAGCCGGAGTAGATATCTGCTCCGTTGAGCGACGCTTTGGCCCGTTGGGCGCTTTGCACAGAGTCGAATGTAATGACAGAGTTAAGGACAAAACAGGGAAATATCTTGACAACTAATGTTAATACAGACTAAGACAGATTTATGATTGCTGAACTACCAGAAGCCATCAGCCAATCACCAATTAAGTTTGACTACCTGGGTTTTATAACTTGCTTCTGTAAAATATGTTTACATGTTTTAAGAACATTGTGTCAAACAGGTTTGTGTTTCAAACTGACGTAACATACCAGAGAAGTTACTGTCAGAACGACACGTACCACCAATCTGTCCATTTTGAGTTATGACTTGCAATACAAATCCAGCAGCCTATGCTTTTTTTTGTTTTTTTTACACTAGTTGTAAACAGATTGTGAGTTTCATGTCAGACAGCATCCACGGAAAAAGGATATTCAACCATCGCCTGGACGCCGTTCTTCCTGAAGATGACGATTCTCTGGACGGGTCCACAGTTGTTGCAGATAGTGTAGAGGACATCCTGTGAAAATGTACCACGTTAAAAATACTACATACAAACAATGGCAGAGGTCAAGTAGAGCTGGGAATGTAAGATAAGACGTTCTATTGATTCCCCGTGAGAGAAATTCAAGGCAGACACAGCAGCACAGTGAAATGTAGTGCAAAAAGTACAATAAAGAATTAAATTATAAAAGATACAATAGAAAATAAAACAGCGGACAACTAAAACTAAACTGTACATGTGCAATTTGCAAGGTGTAATTTGTGCATAGTAGGTTATCTATATGCATCTCACCGTTTGAGTTAGACTAGGAGGACATTTTAAAATTTGACTGTCAACAATTGACAAAAACACATTTGAAGAGTTTCTGACATTTGCTGGACAGAATGATTCCCTGAGAAGACAACCAATGACAGCCGCACAGTATAAACCAGAGACAATCAGCAAATCCTCACATTAGCAAGTTAAACACAGTCTCTGAATCTCCGAGAGAGAGCGGTGCATTAAGAAATCACAAACCAAAATTAAAAACATTAGCTGACGGATATTTGCAAACTGTGCATAACTTCTAACGAGCTTCCGTTTGCCGCCGACAGAAGTGACATTTCAACAACACGCCTATAAACTCAGTGCAGCCCTGCACAGATTAACTGACACTAATCTGTGTGAATTAAAAAGAGATGAAACCCACACACACTTTTACTTAAGAGACATAGAAACTGGACTCTTTGCATTTACCGTGGTGATGGGGTAGATTGGGTTCATGATGGTGAGCAGAAGAACATTGTTAACACTTCTAGAGTCGTCAGAGTCTCCCGGCCTGGAGATCTTTTGACTAGTGGAGTAGTTGATAAAGGCTGGGTGGCCGGCGATGTACACTTGGTTGTCTGCGGCGTAGGTTACGGCTGTGGATGATCCGTTCATGTCTTCATACTCCACCAGTGCCTGCCGCTTCTTGGGCATCACCACTACGTAGCTAAAAGCAAAAAGCAGATGCCGTGAACACATAGTTGCTGGTTGAAATGTTATTCTCAGCTTCAATATCTTGCAGGTAAAAAGGTTGCAAGTCAAGCTGCGTTAAAATCTGGTTAACAACAAAGTGTGACTAATGTGCACCGTGGAAACTACACATTTCTTCTATTTAAATACATATTTTCCACATAAACGAAGCTTTCTTTACCTGATTGCGCCAAATTCTTGCAAGGCCTCCACAAGGTCCGCCTCTGTAACACCATCCACCAGCCCTCGGACGTGTACCACCACAGAAGGAAGTGTCTTGTGTGGATCTTCATATCCCTATGAGGAAGAAAACAACAACAACCTTCAGTGGGAACATTTCAATATACTCCTGTGTGTGTGTGTGTGAGCCTTTTGTGCTGCAATCTTTACATTTTAAACATGCATGGGAATATTTACTGGTAGATGTTTTGTGCATATTTATTATTATTCTGTGTAAATGAATTTTACAAGAAAACCATTTTAAGATCGCTGCAACAAATAAAGTTAAGCTGACATTAAAACTAATAATATAGAGTTAACAGAGGACAGGTAGCTCATGCTCGCATTAAATAAAATACTAATTAACCTAAAGGTGACTTGGTGCAGTTGGGGGAAGGGGGGGGTAATTCCCGTAATGAGTTTATTAAATAGTGCTCATATTAAAACACCTTCCTCAAAATCCAGACACGTATTAGTTCACTAAAAGGAGCATGAAAGGAGTGAGCAGTGGATCTGATGCTGGGCAGTGTTAACACAGGGATTACAGCATGTAGCTCAACGCTAGCACGATGCTAACGTTACCGGTGCTAGGCTAGAACAAAGCCGGGCTGAGGCGAGGCCCGGCCGGGGTGGGAAACCCGCCCTCAGACGAGCCCATCCAGGCGGTGCAGCACCGGTTGTATGTGCGACACATGCTCCGAGATGTTTCCCCCGAGAGCATCAAATATATAAAGCACAGCGTTAAATGCAGTGAGGTGATAAAAGAGGAGATTTAAGGACAACAACGTTTCTCACACACACACACGGAGCTAACGACCTGTGACGCGCTTCCTCCCACCGTCTGAATGAATCACATTAAAACCGAACTAAACACCGTAAATACGTCGGTTATGTAACGTGAAGTAATCCCCCCCCGCCGCCGCCGGAGCGCCGCACACGGAAACAACTCACCGTGGCCATTCCGTCGGTTTTCTGCCGTTTCGTTGCCCTGCCGTCCTCGCTGTAGTAACGGCTCGCTGCAGTAGCCATGTTGTCCCGGTTAAAAAGGATGTGGTAGTGACGAGCGACTGAAATGGACGGAAAAGTCAAGAAAAACGAGGCTCCCGTGGCCACGCCCACTACAGCGGCACCGCCCGCTGTGATTGGCGGAGGCCGCTGTCAATCTGCCTGCGGCTTGAGGGGCAGCCAATAGGAGAGCAGGAGGCGCAAACAGGTTTTTTTTTTTTTTTAACTCGCGATATTAAAGCGGTTATTCAACAACGTACACAATCTGAATTAGAAATACTTTATTTAAATACAATGCATTTTAAGACACCTGTTTAATCTGAGGTGTGTTAATGTTCATAAAAAATATATTAATTAAAATGTATCAGTATTTTTTACTGTTTGCACCATTTTAGGATTTTTTTTTGGAAGAAATATCTTTTTAAAATCCCAGTTCTCTCAATAATTGCACACAAATACAGTAAAAGAACTAGTATATGAATCTAGTGTTAACCTTTAGTAAAAATTAAAAAAAATCTAATGAAAAACTGCTGATATCTTGTATTTTTTTTAGTTTCACGAAACAAACTCAGGTGTGTGAGAAATAAAATAAGACCACAAAAAAGGTATGTTGAAGAGGTTTATTCAAAAATAAAACTGCCACTGTCTTACCATATAAGCCAGGAACAGAACAAAACAGTTAAAGCAGCCCTTACAGAAATCAAACTGAAGCACTGTATATATTTTAAAATCAAAAGTCACAGGAACAAAATCAAACACATGGGGAAAATCTATTCAGCGCACAGTGAAGCTGATCAGGTTTGTAAAACGGGCAGTGCAGCACAGAAACAACAAACAGTAGGAATGTGACATATTTAAAGGCATGCAGGCCAGCAACCGTCTCCTTACATCACCATGAGTGGAAACGGTAAACAGCATCTGAACCCTAATCATACTGGAGAGCAATACAAAACAAAAACATTTACATCGTTTGCAGATTCTCAACGGGGGGGAAAAATATTTTAAGGTTCAGAAATTTGAGCTCAAGGAATAAAAGCAGTTTTTTTTTTATTTCCAATGCAGTGTCCTCGCCCTCAAGAGCTGCATCAACTAACCCATCTTTTGACGCAATTTACTGTATGAACGAGGCCCAAAATACACTGCTAAAAGTCAACTGCAACATTCAAAATGACCTTAACACAGGTGTTACACTTGCTACGTGACTTCTGAGAAGAAAGAGGATTTCTGCAGCAACAGCATTTAAAACAATCTATCAAATGGAAACTGATTTATGTCTGCTATACTGACTATATCTGGGGCTGCACAAAGACTACAGTCCTGGGGAGGAAATTCAACTTAAAAGACTAAACAGACAAGCACAAAAAAAACCAAAAACACTTCTGTAGGGCTGTAAAAGCAGACAGGGTGCAGGGGTTGAGGGTCTGTCTGTTAAGGAGAGCGGGGGAGGGGGGGGAACTAATAGGCTTCTTCACTCAGTCGTCTGCGGGCGTAGCGCTTCGGTTTGGAGTTGCTGAACGGGAACGACTGAAACAGAAACAGAGAGGAGTTAGCTTGCCACAGGGGAGGATTGAAGAATGATAAGAAAAACCCACATTACTCAACATCTTAATACAGTGTACACCTTTTGTGAAATTCATGACTGGATGGGCGCTGATATTTGTTAACTGAATACCTCTTTGACCTCTTAGACCAAGACTCATCTCAGGAGCCACAGGTTCTTTTATTATTTATTAGTTTTATCTTAAAAAAAGACAACTAATCTTTGTATTTCTGAGGAATAATAAAAGAAAAAGCTAAATATATAATTTAACCCCCCGGGCAAACAAACACCCATTGAAATGAATGACACAAGTCCTTGAAAGTCTCCTCACTGGCAACTACACATTGTTAAAGTGGTTTCTGCTCGGGAGGAGACATTTAGCACTTTAAATACACTACAAACACAAAAAGGTGGGCAGCACAAACAGATGGAAACTAGAGCCAGACCGATATGAGACCACTTTAAGAGGGGAAAAACACTGATATCGGGCCAATATAGTGAATTTTTGATACCTTTTCTATGTGGATTGTGCACCAATGTGATTATGCAAAGGTACTCAGAAGGCTGCTTTCTACATTACTTACAAATAACTTTATTAAAAGAATATTTAAAGTGTGTGCAATAGGCCAATATTGGCAGATAATATTGGCCCACTAATATATCGGTCAGGCTCTAAGAACCTGCTCTATACAGTGACCAGTGAATGAACTGCACATTTTAAAAAGCCACCATTATTTGAGTTTGAGTACTAAAATAAATACTAGAACGATAAAAGATAGTAATGGTAATGATGTGGCAACATGTTTGGCACAAGAAGAAAAAAACATATCTGACAAAAAAAAGGCCTCCTCAGAGATATCAGCCCATTAAAATTCATGTTTCCTTCCTCTCTTGCACTCACTCAATCATCCACGTACTCTCAGATTCAACCACACATTTGTACTCTGAGCATGCTTGTTAAAAAGTCTCAACTTTAGCTCTACAAATCACCAGTTTTCCCAGACTACATCAAGCCTGTGCAATTTTTCTTTCACCATGAACATGAGCTTGTCAGGGGGTTGGATTTTTGGTTACCTTTGGAGACAGTGGCAGAAACAACAAGTACAGAGAAGCGAAGGATGAAAGGACTGAAGGACGGATGACTACAACTTGGAGAGACACTGCGCTGGGAGGCTCTTGAAGACTGATCTCTCGTCAGCTCTCTTTCTCTCACTTTCAGAAGCTAAGACAGAGGCCGAAGAACTCTGGTAGGTAGGGGGTCTGGTAGGTAGATAATGGATTTAAAAAGGTAGTGGTCGAACTCTGATCTGTGTGGGTCAGCCCTCTGGTACATCTGAAGGCTGGCTGGCTGGCTGGGTGACTCTAGTAGAACAACTGTATGTGTGCATGGGCTGATCTCGTCTGAGCGTGTGCGTCGGTTGAACAGACGGTCACCCATTCACTGTGGGGAGGGTTCGGTCGGTAGGTCGACCTCTTTCTCGCTGTCTAACACCAGATGCAGGCGAAGGCTGATCTCAGGTCAGCGCTTAGTCACCCTCCCGCAGGACGTACACACCGCCAGCTGGCAGACCCTGGGCCTGGGATCAGCTGCGGTGTCAGTGCAGTGCTCAGCTCCCACCACACGCTTTAAAGAAAATATGAAAAATAAACAAAACTGCTGCAAAGATGCTTAACGTAAGTCACACCAATGGTGTCGTTTTGTCTGATCTCAAGTTAATATTTTTCTGAAGAGTTCTGTTGATCTAGCCAAATTCAGGAGAGGGAATTAAAATTTAAGAAAACATTTACAATGCTAATTCTGACCATCTTTACTTAACACTTGTCCAATAAATCCAATAAATATAAAAATTTCTCTCTTGCTCTGTCAGCCTACATTCATTTGTTTAGAATAGGGCTACATCTAGGGTGGGTGAGATCAAAAGGAAGGCAAGAGTACAGAAGATATGGGTGCACCTCACTCTTTTTAGCTGCTGAGTCTGAACAGTTTATAGGTTGAGCGGAGACGGTCTTTCGTGTGCTCTCATTTCAAGGTCAAGTGGGACTGATTAAACAACAGTGTAGCTCTCAAACAGTTTTGACAGTGCAGAGCTATCAAGAGTTGGAAAAGAGAGCACAAGAGAGAGGTCTGATCTTTAATCTACTTATACATCCCTACAACCAGACAGAGGGCCCAAGTCACTGTCCTCTGCCCCTCCCACTCCACTTCTGGGCAACAGCGGAGGCAGAAGTCACGGCAGAAGACGAAGATCTCTCTGTGTCGAGGACGTAGAGGGGTCTCGCCGGTCATCCATCTCACCGTCAGGTGGCGGTCGTTTGGTGGCAGCGTGATGCTCCCGGGTGGAAGGAGGGTCTATTTAACAGTCAGTCCCTGCCTAGGATGGAGCACCTAGCTCTGGCTAATGAGAACATAACTGACCCTGTCTTGAAATGGAAGATAGCTGTAGTCTGAACTATTTCGAAATCTATAATGGTTGATCTAGACTTTACTGAGGTGTTACATATGAATACAATGTCTTGGTAAAACACTGACAACTGGCAGGATTAAGCACTAAAAATGTATTAGACAGCCTACACCCTGTTTCAGTGAAGGAGAGACATCGAGACTGAGGATTTACCTGGCCCTCTTGTGGTTCGCGGACTGAGATCGTGAGCGGGATCGGGAGGCAGAGCGTCTTCTGGGCGCAGAGCCAGACCGAGAACGAGATCTGGAGCGACTGGAGAAAAGAAAACAGCATTTACACGACACACTATCGAAAGCTAAAGCTGGAGTTATGCCTCTGCTGAAATACACGTAGACATCTTTTGCAAACTGGTTGCAGCAGACGCACAAACCTCCCACCTCTTATGTTAGAGAGCTGACTTTCTCATCAAGCAAGTCGATTGGTTGGACGTACAAATCAGCAATCGTACTTCCAAAAGTTCGAGTTTGCAACAGTGTGTTTCAGACACGAGTCGTGTAATGGTGGTTTGAAAACCTGGAGTTCACACAACCTACCTTCTCACTGGAGTCCTGGACTTAGAACGAGCTGGGGAGCCAGACCTAATGGGACAGGAAATAGATTGTGTTTAATTACAGCTATGGTGGGTTTCCATGACAACACTTGAGACATCCACAATGAGGCTGCAAACATGAACGTGGATTTAATGTATACCCGGAGGAGGTAGTAATTATCTGCTCCGCCCTACGTCAGATTGTGCTGCAGAACCGGATTAACACGGATGAGCAGCTACATCTGCTTCGCATCTCGCCATCAATAAAGATAAGGAGGAATGTACGAACATAGTAGTTAGTCATAGCTCAACAACATGTTTTCTCACCTGCTCCTGCGTCTGGTATAGGATGGAGATCGGCGGCGGCTCCTGAGAAAGTACAAGTGTCACAAAGAGGGGATGAACAAAACCTGCGTACCATTTATTACTCAAGATAAAAACAACTCCGTACACGGGTAAATGCATGGCAATAAAATCTTTAATTCTATTAATCTATAAATAGATCCTAGAATCTATTACAGTGGGAACAATTAGTTTTAACCATTCTTATTTGCAAAGTGATTAATCAACAGTTTGGTGTGATGATATCAAGTGCTTTTGTTTCGTGTTGCTCAAAGCACCTCAGATTTAAAACAAAAGCCACTGATCACATTACATTGATTTGAGCTACAAGCTCTCCAAACCCCTGACGACATCATAACTGTCGAAGAGGTCACGCTTTTAAATGGCGCCTGAATATCTGCACGACTAATGATAACCCTCCTCATGCGTCTGCACATCACAAACCCACCAGAACAAGAATTTCCAGTTTCATCTGTAAGGTGTATCTGTGTTTTTCGTGCCGACATACCTGCTGTGGCTACGGCTGCGGGAGCGAGAGCGATAGCGGCGTCCACGGGACCTGGACCTTGACCTGGAGCGAGATCGAGAGCGAGACCTGGAATGGAAAGACACGTTATTCCCCTTTGTGTTCTGCTTCGACGGTACAAGGAATGACAACATCTAACATGTTTAGAAAATGAAAATCATATCGACCACGACCACAAGACAGAAGCTGTATTCCTTCACCTGCTGCGACGACCTCCTCTCTTGCTAAAGCGGTAGCAGTCGTAGGCATAGTGGCCCCGGTCCCCACACTGGTAACACCGATCATTGGGGTCAAACTGGCGCCGGCTAGGGCGCCCACGGCCCTTCCTGGAGAGGCCTGTAGACATCTCCACACGAACACGGGAACCACAAAGAACCCTGAGGAGAAGAAAGGACATTTTATTCCTGAGGTCTTACGAGGGGCGAGGATTACAGACATTTAAGATTCGACTTTTTTATTTTTAGTCCATTACGAAGGCAGAACTCAAAACACAAACAACTCAAACATCACAGGCGTTACTACTCACTTTCCATCCATGCCCTTCACAGCATCTTCTGCATCTCTGGGATCCTCGAACTCTACAAAGGCAAACCCTGGTGGGTTCCTGGCCACCCACACACTTCTCAGTGGGCCGTAATAACTGAACGCTCGCTCCAGCTCACCCTTGGCAGCGCCGTTGCCTAAGTCACCCACGTACACTTTACAGTCGGTGGCCCGAGACGAACTACGGGACGATGAATAGTACGACATGTCTCCTTGCCTGTTGGGAGACGGGGGGGGGGGAATGTGCATGAGCATAAACAGAAAATGAATCAGCAGCTGGTAACTACTGAGATAATTATATCCTTTGTTTTCATGCTTCGGTGTTTGGGCAGACAGAAGAAGCAATGTGACCAACCGATCAATCTTTTACCGGCTTAAATAAAAGGTTTTCAGTATCTGCTGACGTTTTATTAACCAAGTTTACAACGTATTGATCGATAATCTGCAGCTTTAATCGAAGATAACAGCAGATAGTTTCACCTTTAGTATTTATAAGTTCTCACACTGAGGTTATTTACAGATAATTACTGTTGAATAATAGTTCATAAGTTTGGGGCTCTCCACCAAACAAACACGGTCGCTTACATTGGACCACTACAGCTGCTCAGTTTACATTAATGTGCGGGAAACCAACCCCTCCCGGTACCCGTAGCGCCGGTGGCTCAACAGGTGCAGCAGCGTCACCGCGCCAAACCAACCCGACCTCCTAAACTGTTACACACGGTCCACATGAAGCCCTGTACGACAATGTAACGTGTTCGATTCCCCACACACACACACACACACACACACACAGATCAGCCAACAAATAGAGATTAAATTAAAATAAAACACACAATATACGTTGGCTGTGTGTGTGTGTGTGTGTGTGTGTGTGTGTGTTGAGGCCTCGCTCCCCGCCTGCTCATAAACAATGGCGCCGGCACGCGTTAGCTAAACGTTACCTTCTTCCGCCGTTCCGCTGATTTCTGATTCCCACTGAATTCAACCGTCTCCGACAGAGAGCCGCGGAGGGATTCGAACACGGTACAACGGTACTACGTCGCTACAGAGCCGCTCGTGTGGACATTAATGAGTCTTCCACATGTTTTTAGGGACAGGTTGACCGGATTCACCACCAGCGACGAAAGCTAACCTGAAGAGTCGACCACGTGACGTCCGCTTCTGCGCACTGAGGCTCAAATGGTGCCGCCGCTTAGTGACACTTCCGGTTGATATTTTCAAAATACAGCGCACCAAAGGTTTAATTTAGATTTAAATATTTGTTCTTTGTTATTTTTTGCTTTGGGATGTTTTTCCAGTATTGGATCATTTATAATGAACATTGGGATTAATAATTTAATTATTTTGGCACAATAATTAAACACATTTGTCATTTTTTAAACGCTATTCCTATTTTTTCTGCATATTCAACGAGGTAGCCTTATACTGTACAAAAGTATGTGAAATGTTGTAAATGTTCATCACTGTTTCTATTTAATTTTCCTCTTTGTTTGTTGTTGCTTTCATTCGCTTGGTTTTTTCTGTTGTAGTGAACTTTTCAGTGCAATCAGTCATCAAGAACTGCAACACATTAAATTCACTAAATAAGCATCAAGACACTCCTGATAGTATACTACCACTTTCAGTGATGAGTGGCCACTGGAGGACAAGTAAACACTCATTATTATGAATACTTAGCTGTTTATTGGAATGAATTACAGGACACACAACTCCAGTTTGATAACAAAATGTACATTATGTACAGATCTTAAGTATGAATATGTACCTGTATTTTTCCCACTAAACAATACGGAGTTATTGTTTGTAAATGTGACAACCACAAAATAATAAAAAAGGATCATATCAAGATGAATTAATTTGTGCCTGTGAGATTTTAATCACTGTGTTATGAAAGTACCCAACAAACATATTCTCATTTCTCATTTGTTTATGTTTTTGCAACCTTTAAAGATTTTTAGGGATCTTTCCATTAAGTTTAATGGTTAGTTGACCTGGACACACACAGTTGCTCAAAGCAGCTCAATAATTCAACATGACAAACTTTCTATTATGTGTACGGATACATCGACCTCGTGATGAAATACAGACCATCACATTTAACTTATCTACATGTAAAACACTTTCTTTCTGCAGTATGACTGTTGTCATGAACAGACGAAAACCTGACAGTGCTGCCATGAGCAACAGTGATCAGAGCTGCTGCACTGTGTGTGTGTGTGTGTGTGTGTGTGTGTGTGTGTGTGTGTGTATGTGTCCACTGACCAGCTTCACTTTGCTTTACTGCACCTCTCTGCAGCTCTACACCGAAGCTTTTTACCTGTGCATGGCTTTTCCCTCACAAACCAAAACCTGTGTGTTACAGTTTGTCAGTAATTATTTGTACACATATTTATCCTGTTATTGTGCCTGATGTGGTTTTGCTCTATTCCTGGGCTGGAAGGATGTATGGTCATCTGTGGGAGTCTCTGGGAGAAAGCAGCAAAATCGCAGCACAACACATTTGAGAAGCTGAAACCAAAGATTATTCTGTCTATTGATCAATTGATTTATTTCAAAGTATCACAGAAACATGAAAAATGCTGTATTGGGTTCAATCTAAAGCCGGTGTTGTGTGTTTTGATCATGATGTGTTTATGTGGTTGTGTGTTTGATAGATGGATTACTGAATGGGCACAGGTTAGTGGTCCTAAGTTCAGAAGGTCAGAAGTAGGAAGTCCTAATCTTTTTTTTCTATCCCGCTCTTACAAAGTCCAGTGCATTCATTGTATTTTTTAGAAGTTTATTTTTTCCTGCACAGCGCAGTCAGCCGACAGCCATGTTTAACAGAACTCTTGGTCTGTTCCCTCATACTCCGTCCGTGATGTGTTTGACTGCTGTATTCTCATTTAGAGCAGAAATAATGACTCAGACACATTACGCCTTGAAAATAAATGAACTATATTCCAATAAGGTCAACTTCACTTGATTAAAGACCTTCATTTTCTTTCGGTAACACATTACACCTCATGCCGTTTTTTCAAAAACAGGTTGCCATTTTTTTTCTAAGAATTTTTTTTTCTGCATTTCATAAAAAAACTTAAATATCATCTTCAGTTAATAATTTATTACAGTATTGAATAAATGTATATTTCTATCACAAGATATTGTAGTAACTCAGTCATTATTTCCCTACAAAGGTTCAGGCAGAGAGAGAAATTTTCATCACAGGAAAAAACTTCACAGAGACACATTGAAGAGCAAGACCGGGGAGGGAGTGAATGGGAGGAGGAGAAGAGGAGGAGTAAGGAGAAGGAAGAGAGGAAGGAGAAGGGGAAGAAGAAGAGGGGGAACACTTACACAGACACAGAAATATTGTACACCAACAAACAAAAAGATGACCTGGGATGTTGCTCGTTGCGGACACAACAGAGCTCACTCTCTTTTCACAGCTTCTAAAGGTAACAAAACAAATAAGCAGTAGACACTGAATCCATAAATGCTGTGTGTGTGTGTGTGTGTGTGTGTGTGTGTGTGTGTGTGTGTGTGTGTGTGTGTGTGTGTGTGTGTGTGTGTGTGTGTGTGTGTGTGTGTGTGTGTCTTCAGTCTATCTGTACGGAGTCGTGGTTGTGTCTGTGTGTGCCACTTGCTTATTTTATTTCACAAAGAGCTTCTGGTGTATGGGATTCGAAGTGTGGGGAATCAACCCGATAAAATGTGCCGATAGGCGTCCATCACAGTAGACCATGCTGCTAACACATGTACACTGGGATTCATCATGCATCTGCAGAGGAATACAGAGGGGAAGCAAACACAGACACACACTGGGGAGGGGTGGGTGAGGAGGAGAGGCTGGATGGGGAGGCATCACATCTAGCTACAGAACAGCAAAGGCCGAAGCCTGACAGTTAGTACAGAAGTTCATGGAAACATGGAACATTGTCCGAACATTGTAGACAGTTCTGCTTTTGGGCTGCTGAGCCACGCCTGGGTCACATCTGCTGGGACAACGCTGGGCACATCATCTGAGCTGATCCATCCTGTACCCGCTGGTGGTGATCATTTCGTACCCAGTCATCGATTACACAAGAGTTCAGCAGACCTGGGTGTGTGTGTGTTGGTGTGTGATGTGTAATCTTGGTCCCACTTTGTGGTTTAGTGAGTAGACTACAGTTAAGCTACTGTTACAGCCTCACACACCACTGACCTGCCTCACGGCCACCACTGATATCTACAAAGAGTCCCTCTTCAGCTCACGACAACCCGAGACTGACAATTACACTGGCAATGTTCCACACTGTTTCTTCATGTAAACATGCTACTTACACTCAAAAACTCCTCCTTCAAGGGAACTGAATGAAGAAATGTACGTTGGCAGCGGGTTACAACGAACACTGGAGCAGAAAAAGACCTCTTGTCAAAGCTACTAACGAACTAAGATGTGTTTTAATTTTATTCTGTATTGCACATTGAAACCACGCTCCTTGAACTTAACTGTTCGCTTCAAGGACCTGCGGCACAGCTTATCCATAGATAAATAATCTTCTTGTAAATAAATAAATATCTAAATAAATTATCTTATGAGAAGAAATATACATAAGTAACATAGACACAAACAAGTCAGCAGACAACGAACTTCAGTAAATTATTTGGGATGTCTGGTTAGGATACACTACACTGTTTGAGCAGTTTAAAGGGGAGCTTCCTCACTGTGGAAATATATCAAAATCTAATCCACTAAATTCAGTAACGATGTAATCTACACTACCAACTGTATATATTGATACTATTCTAAACATTGTGTAGAAGTACAAAAAAATCTAGGCTATATCTGCAAGGAAAAGATACAAAATTGTTTTTTAGAAAGTTTACAAAGTATAGTTAGTTAAGGGTAAACTAATCGAATCCTTCTGATATTATCATGTATAATAACAAATTCCACTTGTATAGCACTTATTATCATTTGTGGGTGAAGTGTTTGTGACACACCTGCAGCACAAAGTACGACGTCCTCACAGAAATATATTTAATGCGACTCATATTAGGCAGTGAATATTGCAGTAATAATAACGTCGACTGCGGTGTCTCAACGTGATAAATTCCTCCTCGGGTAGAAAAAGGATGCCGGATTCTTGGTGCTTCTACTCTAAGCTAATAGTTAACTTAATCATCATACTATAATGTCGCACACTGCTCTCTGCATTTGTTTTGACATTATTTTCAGCACTGACTTTTCAGCTTCTTGCATCTCAATGTTGGAAGGAAGAAATGTCTGTGTGTAAATGTCACAGCAAATCAGAGGGTGTGTGCATACAGCTCAGTGTGTGTCACTGGTTTGCAGCTCTCTAGTTGTGCATTCTGGTTGATTTTCACTGTCTGTGTAGCAGCCAGTTGTTTCCTTAGCTTGTGAACATTGTACTGTATGTTCCAACTCTGCCATGCAATACTGAGCAACACATACATACCTTAAAGGGCAGTATGTTCTAATGTGTTTTCCTATGCTATGGTACTATGACTACACAAACTGTCTGATTTAGACCTACAATGACAGTGCTGCTCCTACAGCTTCTCTGTGGTCCTGTCTGCTGTTGACCTACAGACTGTAAACAAAGTCTGAAGAACAGTAGACGATAGACCTTAGCTCTTTTAAACAATGTGCAGACTTTCCATTAAAATGGGAAGTAATCTTTAGCATATCTGGTACTTCTGTTGTGCTCTAAGCACAGATGAATGGGGGTTTCAGCTGGATCCAGTGTTACATTTGAACTTCACACAGTTCATAGTTTTCCTCCAGTGACTCGACCTTCATGTACTGCACACTAATAGTTTGTCAACTAAAGAAAAAATAAAAACACAACACAGTATGTTTTAGTTACACCAAATAAAGTGCAGCCCGGACAGTTTGTACAGCTGAAGCTTGAATACTAGATTTTTACTTGAGAGTTTTCCTTAAGGCATTGTATGGGTGCTATCTGAAGCATCGGTGTGGTGTAGACTAGCAACCTGCATACCAATTTATGTGCAGTTTAGGATCATGCATCCTAATCAACATGCTTCAGACTGACTGTTGGTGAGTGGAATCTGTTTTTTACTGATTTAACTGTAATCTACTCTGTATTTCACTCTTGAAAGTAAACTAACACTGTTAAGTCTTGTTCGACCATCCATGCATGTTTGTCCGACCATGCTGCTGTCACTAAGGGTAATGGATTAGTCTGTTAGGATACATGCCACACCAATGGATTAGTCTGTCACTACCCACAATGACACAGTGATGACGGACTGTAGTTTAGTGTCTGCACTCAGATCTCAGTCCGTCTGGATGGAGCAACAACAATCGAACAAAGTTCCCACGTGGGTTTTGAGTGTGAGCACATATTTGGTCCCTCTGAGGAGGAAATGTTTTTTTTTTTTTTTGGTTCCACCCAGATCATCCACTGGACCAAACACCTCTCCTCCTTCCTGTCTGCCTACACACACAGATTTAAACAGGACGATTTAATATCAAGAACCAGATGAGTTCACTGAGCAGACGCACGAATGCAGGGATTTAATTTACAGGATTTCTCTTTTACATAGTATATAAGTGATTTATGTGAAGATGCTCCATATCTGTCTATACATGCAGAAAATAATGCCTCCGTTTGATATACAAACCTTTGTCAGAGGGGCTGTGGTTACCCTGGAAACCATCCAATAAAGACACCTCTAATTGGAACGTAGGATGCTGGGGAGTTATGGCTCTTATTTCACCAGTGCATCTTCCATTTGTTTGGTCAGGTAAGACTTTAGTCTCTGTTTAGTGTTGCCAAAGTCATCATTAATCCCACTCTTATTAAACTGTATTCTCTAATGTTTGGGATCAGTGACGTTTCAGCCTGTGCATGAATTTTAAAACCGTTGGAGCTTTTTCGGGCAGAAGCGGCAGAAACCTGACTGTTTTTGCTGTAATTTGACTTTCTGTACAGAATAGTAGCCGCACAGTCTGAGGGAATATTTTTTGCACCCTCTCTGACTTTTTCAGTTGTAGGCATCACTGTCTGCCTACTGAAAACACTACACTCTATATACACCGGTTTTTACTATTTACAGTGCGTGTGGAGAACCGCCTTCTATACAGTGTTAGACAAGAATCACCACTTTATGAGAACTTCCTGTAGTAAACAAACGTTAATGTTATTGTTATTGTAAACATTCCACTCATTTTTTCACACAGCGCTCCACCTCGTCAGTGAAGACACACGAAGCTGTACCAGTAGAGTTGGTGATACAGACGAGAGGTGGGAGGGACAAACAAACAAAGATGTTGTTCCTTCAGTGCAAACGAATATATTCTGTCCGGTGTGCACACGTTTCTGTCCCATCCTCGTCGTCTGATCCTACCAGACAGCTTCTCCAACCCAACCTATACCCATCGGACTTTAAAAGAAACCTTCCATGCCCCAGAATGAAGCAGCCCTCCAGCGGCTGACCTGACCCTCTTCTCGCATCTAGAATGACAACTTCACTTCCTTTCTCTCTCCATCTTCTCTCTGCTAACTTTGCTTCAGCAACCTTTTGTATTCACATTTCTCGCCCTTCAAACACTTCCTTTCGCCCTTTTATCATGCCTGTAACTGTGTGTGCGTGTTTGTTATGACCTGTTTACACATGCGTACATATAGTATGTGTGTGTGTGTGTGTGTGTGTGTGTGTGTGTGTGTGTGTGTGAGAACGTGTATCTGAAGTATTTCAGTATCCTTGCATCAAAGACCAGGACACCTCCAGGCTGCAGTGAGTCCTATTAAACAGAAGAATCTTATACTTGTTTCATGTCAAACTGTGGACTGTATAGTGTAAAAGTATATGTGTGTGTTGCTGTGCAATGTTCTTCCAGAACTTTCTTTATCTCCTTTTTAAAAGCCGGGGATGTGGCAGTAGGCCTCCAAGCTGGAGAAGAGGATGTACAGGAACCACAGACCCAGGAACAGCAGACTGGTCAGGATGCGTGCCACCCTTGGGCCGCCGAGCTCTCCGCCGATGGAGGGTCGGCGTCTGAACAGTAGCACCGCCATGCAGATGAAAGCGAAGATGGTGAAGAGTGTGACGGAGAAGGCCAGCGACCCTGGGTCAACCCTGAACTCCTGTCCTTTGATTCTCCAGTAGACTGCGGCCACCGACCACGCCACGCCGATCCCCAGGAACACGTTAACGGCATTGCTACCGGTGACGTTACCAATGCATGCATCAGCGTGCTGGTCCTGCATGGCAGCCACTTTGCTAGCAAAGGTGTCTGGAATGAGAGAAAGAGGGGGAGAGAGTAAATCATACAACTCAAGCACACTCAAAGGTCCAGAATAAAGTCTAAAATAAAGACGCTGATACAGATACATTTCGGGAAGCATGCCCAGCCTCACAGACATGGACAGATGACCCAAACCCTTGTGGACACTCACAGAAATGGATGGATGACTGAATGGGCCTACTGGCCACAGGCCCAGGGGCCAGAGCGTCAGTTTGACGTTACTGTTAACAATTTATTTGGGAAAGTCAATCATATGACCACAAAGAGACATAAAACTACCACAGGAGACAAAAACCGACTACAAGGAAACACAAAAGTAACACAAACATACACAAAACAACAACAGACACACAAAACGACTTCAAAGGGACACAGTGTCTCTTTCAATCTCGGTGTGCTCCTATAAAGGAGGTGAGTCTGTGCCAGGGCCTGTTGTCTTATAATCAGTCCATGCTTGCAAATAAAAAATATGCAGAAACTAACAACTCTAAGACGCAAATAACAAGACAGGGGTCTGTAGGAAACTAACATTTTCTCCAGGTAAAAAATCTTTTAAGAGGCAGAGAGTAAACTGCTTATACTATAATTGGATGGATGGATGATGATAATTAAGTCCAACTTTAGTTGTGACCTGAAGTATGTTTGGAATGACAACTGCAGGACTACACAATAGGAATAGTTTCCCTACATGTAATGGTCTAATGAGCTTTTGCAAACTTGTAAAACTACTGACACCAGTGCACATAGTGTTACAAAGGGTTTTAAACAGAAGGTAAAGGAGCCCTGGATCAGACAGCATTATAGTGGCCAAATATACAATTAAGTGGTGTTTTTAAATCAGTCAACAACAAAACAGTTCCTAAATGTGAATCCTGAATGGCCTTTAGACAAAGTTCACCCTCTTGGTGATGAAAGGTTTTGAAGCTGATGTAGATGCACATCAGTAGGGGAAGGTTTCAGAGATACCACACTCACACCCTTACATGTGTTATTCACCAGAGAATCCTCTTTCTCATGTAAATTTAAATTTAAATCTCATTGAGTGGATTCTGAATTTCTTGACAAACCGGTTCCAGTGTGCCAGGGTCAGTGTCTGCCAGTCGTCTGGGGATATCTAAATGCAAAGTAGTTGCTAGACACGCCCGTTACTATACTCTAAATTGAACACAAATGTATTTGTGGTGTGATTGAATCCTTTATTAATAGATTGATTGGATTTACATACAAGTTTTGCTAATCTCATGTTACCTTCCACACTTCCACACGTCCTGTCACTCACCTGGAATAGAAGTTCCCAATGCCACAAACACCACAGCGGTCACAGTGTCCCGGAGCCCCACGGTGCAGCCGAAGTGTGACGCCAAGTCTCCAATGACGGCGGTGAGGAGGCCGATGACGCTGATGGAGACCAAGAAGCAGGCCCAGCCGTTCCAGTACTCTGTAGGCGGGACGCAGGCAAACAGGACCTTCCAGAAGACGGTGAGGAAATGCATGACGTAGTCGTAACAAGATGGAAGGCGCTCCTCACGGCCCTCCTCGTCATCATCACCATCGCCTGAGAGGAGACAAACAGGAGGAACATTAAACAACATCACAGAGAAGATTGGAGCCAGAACAGCCTTTTTAAACATGTACAGAAACGTCTGACAGGTTTCATGTACGTTACATTATAGCAACACACTGATAACACAATACAAACACCATTTTCAGGGGTTATCTACAGGTTAATGAACATACATTTGAAGTGCTGTCACAACAAGTGTTTGGACTTGCGTGATTGATGCTGTAGTGGAATTATTACAGTCTGTAGTGAACTGTTATTTTCACTAGGTGGTGGCCTTGAATCACAAATCCGACACCCACCAACTATTCACCATTAAATCAAAACACTGGTTCAATGTGACGGCCGACTGCGTCTCTGCTCATGTGTTTGAACATTATTCCCTAATGATTACCATTGGACCTGTTATAATTGATATTTTCCTAATTTTGTGACATAATGAGATCCCATGTTGTTTTTTTAAGGTACATAAGGAGAGTCCCTGTGAGTCAGTACACATACAGTAGCTCAAAGGCTTTTACATCTGCTCATAAAGAGCTTTATTGACTCAATGGACCAAGTTACACCAAGCTCAGGCGGTTTGTTGCCCTTCAGCGAGGCATAATCTGTGATTTTATTTGTTATTGGACTGTTGTACATTCAGGGGGGAAGGTATAGTTTCACAGGTTGGGGGTGGGGCCACAGTGTAAATAGATACCTGATACTTTATGGTATAATGTTGTATTTGGATCTTTACTTCAAAACAACACTAGGCTTGTGTTTTGTCTTTGACAGTCCCTTTAATTCACGAACCATTTCCCCACTGCAAATGACACTGTTGAGTTCATTTATTACTTTCATTGGAGACGTGTCCTTGTGTGTTTCCTCGTACAACACTTGAGGTAATTAACTGTAATTTTGTCAGAGAGCTACCACAGACACAGGGGACGGTATTACAGCCGGTAGCAGTGTCAGCACTGCCAAAGACCCACTGAGCAAGGCACTGAACTCCAAACTTCCCCTTTTTGAAGCTATAAGCAGAGGGAGCCTCTTCTGGTATTCCTATGAATACCCTCCTCTTACCCCTCTTTTGTCACTTCCGTATCGTACCCCCACACCCCTTTTCTTTCTCTTATTTCTTCCTCTCCTTCCTACTCTAGGCCAAAGGCTGGTTCTAGATACAAGAATTCAAGCCTCGTTCACTGTCTAAATGAATTATTTAAACATATCTTAATGGTGAGGTCCTTGCAAGGGAAACTACAGGCGACTGAGACTTCTCAGAAGAACAGAGCGTCAGAGAAGAGTTATTGTAAACTGCTTTTTATCTAAATAAACTCCATGTTCTCATCTTAAAAAACTATTTTCCTCCACTTAAAATGATCAGGCTGGCAAACATTTAGTATTTTAACTGGCCGAGCTGACTTTCTGTGTGTGCCACCAAGAGACCGCAGAGACCTCATTCAATACTGGTCTAGACATCCGGTGGGCAGTAGTAAGGAATGCTAAACAGCTTCCATATAAATCAGTGCAACTTACAGAATATCCTGCAATAACACCAAACCCTGTAAGTTACTTGTATGTGATGAGAGGGGTTTAAGAAACTCTTGATCGTAGCCTGAGTCAAACTGCACTGTATCAGTTTTCAGTCAGTGTGAAACGAAGGTCCGGTGAATTGTATGTAAAGAGTTAGACATAGAAAAAACATCCAGGTACAAGAAGAGACATGTCTCGAAAGTATATTCAAACTGTCAGACAGACAGACAGACAGACAGACAGACAGACAGACAGACAGACAGACAGACAGACAGACAGACAGACCGACTGACCAATGGTACTGATGGGGTAGATAAGTTCAGTCTTTTGTTTACCAATTGATGTCAGTCAAGATAACAAGGTCAAGACTCTAATTATAACACAACAGCTATTATTTAAATTTTGATATTTTGAAAAAAATACAAAAAAAAAAAAAAAAACAAAAACAGGCATCTGCCTTTTCAAAATAATTTATTCATAAATAAATAAATAAAAACAAATTGATGTCATTTAAAAAAGTCATTATTTAAAGAATGTCAGGAAACTTGATTTACAGGAGGATGAAACTGACATTAATAAACTTATATATAAATAAACCTCAGGTAAGTTGTTGAAGGGATAGTTTGTATTTTTAATGGGGTTGTATGAAGTACTTATCCATAGTCAGTGTACTTTCTACTTTTCCACTTGAAAAAAACCTGACACACACACACACACACACACACACACACACACACACACACACACACACACACAGCTCACCTGCACTGACAGTGACCGCCTCCACAAACTGTTCCCTCCAGGAGTGCGTGCCGATCACCAGCGCCAAGTTGGTCTTCTTAATGAGCTTGTCAACGGTGCTCTGCCAATCAGAAGCACAACATTAGCAAACACTTACAGCTGGGGACAGGTGACAGAGGCACTCAGGTGTGACTGGGCTTGTTAGCAGAGGGGGCTGTGACTGTCCATCACACAACATATCTGAAACAACATTAGTTTAAACTTCAAACATATCAAATTATAATTGGAGAATCAGTTAGAAATCACTTCTCAATCTGTAAAATAAAGTTTTATTAATAGTAGGGCAGTTTTAACATGTCTCATCTGCATTTTTAAATTGTTTTTATCCTATATTAACGTTTTATCACTGATTTATTTGCCTTATTGCAGTCAATCAATGTTTTAATCTTGGTTCAACCACTTCGTAACATTGCTTTGAAAAGTGCTGTATAAGTAGAGTTTATTATTATTATCTCCCCCAGTCTTACACGTGAAGTTCAGTTTGCTCGTTGTGAGACGCACTGATGCTGCCTCAGTAGGACCACTATGATCTTCCAGAGGGAGATTTCTTAACTCCTTGAGAAAATACACTTTGGCTTAGAGAACTGAAATCTTTACAGAAGGTTTACCAGGTGGTGAGGGATCTAATTAAAGATGCTAGTGAGTTGCATCATAAGGTTGAGATATCTCGGCCTCTGCTGCATCGATTTTGAACTTTTGGGAAAACAAAATCCACCTTCCAGCTCTAAAGCTCACTAATTATTCTACTAACTTATATCACATCTGTTTAATCTGTTCAGAGGGTTATGTGTCGGACTATTGTTATCAACACATTATGAACCAGGAGTTCCCAACCTGGGGGCCAGGGACTTTTTATAGCTTCAAATAATTAAGTTACCTGAACTCATCAGAAAAATTAACATCCTATTAAATTCAGTCCGTGGCCTGATGTAACCAAAAAGGGTGAGAACCTCTATTGTGAGTTATGGAAACAGGAGATTACAGGCAGCCAACAACATCACAAGAGATTCAAAAGAAGAATAAACTCACAGTGTAAGTTAAACCAAAGCACAAGCACAGATATTTTCTTCCATGTGGTCCACCTGCTCTCTCCAGCCGTATTCATTTTCAGTTTAATTTGCAGAGGATTTGAGTTTCCATCCGCCGAGACGCCTGCCACCATTTCAGTGCAACACCCTCCATTTGTACTGCAGTGGTGATTTTGTAAACAGGGCAAACTAAACCTTTAAATATCTTCAAAGTACAGACAGCAGTGTCCATACATCAATGATACAAACATCTGCATATATTTATTTATATATATTGATTTTTGCTTTTCTGTGTTTTTACATTTCGGGTAAATACGCCTCAGAAAGTTTAACTACAAATCCTCCTATTCATTTATTTGTGCTCACAGCAAGCAGAGCGTCTCAGTCCACTCACATTGATCTCCTGTGTGCTGCATCTAAATGCCAATCATACTAAATTGCATTATTCCCTGAGCTGGTTCTTACTAACCACAAATCACAACAGACACGGTCAATAATACGTCCACACGGGGTCAATGGACTTTGTAATCAAATGCAGGATGAGAGGATTGAATTTTAGTGGACTGTGTTTTGAGTTATGACGGAACGACGGGCTCTCAGTTATCTGTTGATGTTTGTTTGTACTCACTCAGCCTCTGTATTTAATGCAATCCATGCTTCTGTTTTTAATTGGCTGATAGTGCAGAGGGTGTTTGTTTCCATTTTTTAAAATATTTTGTGATAATTAGTTATTTTGTGTGTGTGTGTGTGTGTGTGTTTGTGTGTTTGTGTGTGTATGTCTCAGGGATGTATATAAGCCCTCTTGTGTGCCCTTTTACACTTTCCCTCACGCAGTGCAGTTTCACCAATATTCAATATAACTTTAACCTGCTGCCTACAACCACATTCTAAAAAATTAATACAGGAATTATTGGACTCAACTAATCTTAACATAAATATACAATGTTTATTTATTCCAAGTTAATTAAACATCATTAAATTAAGTTTCTAAAACAACACGATCAGCATATTAGCAGACCTCCCAGCATGCATTGTTTGAGAGTTAAAACTCTCCTGAGAAGTTTCTTTTTTTATAGTTTAAATAAAACATATATGATAAAAACCTTCTGTGTGTCTTTACATTTTACATTTAAAGTTAAGTCATGGCTGCAAACCACGATGAAGGTCAGTGTTGAATTCAGTCTCTAACCCCCCGTTCCACTCACAGTTCCACATACTGTCTATGAGCCAGTGCTGTAGCTTCAATAGGAGCAGCAGCTGTAACTAATGTGTATGCAATGAAGAACTGAATCCTCAAACTGAGAAAAATATAGAAGGAAATCAAAGTTGTTTGTAATGTTCATCAGTGTGATCGAACAGTTGTTGGTCCAACTATTAAGCTTAGTGGACAAGTTTACTGAATTTGTGAAAACATAAGTCAAATAAGACCTTAAACAAATGTTTCGACCTCAGCTGCTTCTTCATTCATTCATTCATTCATTCATTCAACTCACATCTGTAAGGCAGCAAATTGACTTCTTAAGTTGAACCAGCTCAATGTTATTTACAGTGCAGCATTCATTGCTTATTGTAACAAAAGAGAAAGAGATCACTGTTCCATGGTTTCTGGGCTTTTGAAACTTGTCGAACAACCCACAGCTTCAATTACATACATTAAAGCTTATGAAAGGAGTTACAGTGCTTGTTGATATTTAAATCATGTATGATGTGTATTCCACTCAGACTCTGAGGCATAAAATACTCTCACTACCTCTGGTAAAACATATTATGTAGTTCACCAAAAGTCAACTACACATGAGGGAACTGAAACGTTACTTTAATTAAGAATAAGAGCAATTAAAACAAATGGATTAGCAATGTAACGTCCTTGTGTGTTTGAATCGTTTGTGAATTGAGACTTGCCAGTAAACTAAACCCATTTTCTTACTCAGAGTGGCAGGCTGTGGGTATTGGTCAATGTGGTGGCAGCTGCTTTTATTTGCTTAAAATCCACCTGAACCCAATTAAAATATTTGGATTGCTCGCGGTCCACTTCCTCCGATGTTGCTCCTCGTGCACAGGGGAACGCAGCAGAAGCCTGAAAGGCATTTGTAGCGGTGCTCTGTGCATGCCATGAGAGTTTGAATTCTGCATGCCTCGAGCTAGCTGCGGTATCAAGGGCTTCTTGTGCATTTTCAATAGTTCAAACCCATATTAGACCTGCCCTCTGAGAGCTTTAGGCCCCGGGTTCACTGGTGTGAGAAAGAGTATAAAGGTGGATTATATAACATGCCCAGAAAAGCACAGTTACACCGTTGACAGTGCAGGACAACAGGTGTCTACATTCCTGCTCTGCTTTTTTAGCTTTTGGAGAGAAATGTTACTTGGACAGCCTTTGAATTACATACTGTACATATAAAGTCTTCCTTCTTGGATGTTCAGAAATCTTTGCTATTAAACTATTGCTTTATAAATGTAACCTTCTTTGCCAGTTCTTATCTTTTTATTATTTTTAATTAGAAATAAATGATCTAATTAATCTGAGTAATAAACTTTAAAGCTGCTATGGGCTACCGTCAATAAATCATCAACACATTTATTGGCAGCTACTGACAACCTGCCCTCCACACTGGGAGCAGCTGCTTTGTACATCAGGAAACACAAAGAAGGTATTTGTTCTCCCAGAGAATAAATGGTGCACCTTGAACTCATAGGACTCCTCGATGACCACCTCCAGGCGGCTGTGCTCTCCCAGGATGGGCTTCCCCATCTCAGCTATCCTCCGGGCCTCCTCCTCCTCAGAGCTCATCTGCCCCTCCGCCCCCTCTGTGGGAAGAAGGGAGGGAGAGCAGGGAGAGGTCATGTGAAGGAAACAATAAGGACACAAACAGTGAGTGTGGACTGAATGTCGCACATATTTCTACCTCCATCAATAATAGATTGTGAGTCAGCGTTTTATTTAGAGCTGCAATACATCACTTGTGCGCATCAACACACGAGTTGATGTGTGCATGTTCTCACACAGCGGGGGAGAGGGACATGAGAAGATGACAGATGGACGATATGTGTGTGTGTGTGTGTGTGTGTGTGTGTGTGTGTGTGTGTGTGTGTGTGTGTGTGTGTGTGTGTGTGTGTGTGAGGAAGCAGAAAAACAACAACACAGCGACACAGAAAGATTAGAGAGGTGGATCTACAGAGAGGAACGAGAAGAGCAGGGGTGGAAAGTTTCTTCCAAAATGTAAACACTAACATTTGGATGGTTGGCTGAAACAGAAAATACATGATGACAACTGTCACACTGTGCCAGATGAGTCGAATAAAATCTTCAGTCTCTGTCAGACTGTACAATATAAATTTTATGGCTTGTCTGAAAGTGGGATGGAAGCCTGGTGAATTGTATTGCTACAGTGTAAACAAGCTTTGACCATAACGCCGGCACTTCTGTGCGTTACAAACCTCAAGAGAGGAGGAGAACGTGAAGTCGCTGAAGAGACAACATGGAATAGGAATTTTACAAAGTGAGTCTAAGTTAAATATAGTTTAAAGAAGTAGCATTACCATATTCTGCATCATTTCACTTTGTATTCTGATTTGCTGTGTAAAATTGGGTCATAGCAGCAGTTAAATTGTTGGTTTTTGGTCCTAAATTTCATATAATGTAAGACCTAAACATTAAAATAATAAAATATTTTTGCAAATGAGACAGTGTGTGGGAGTCATATTGTAATTGTACCTTCCCTCTGATGCACCTGTCACACGTTAGAGTGTGCAGAGATTTCGTTCTATATATTTTAAAAGGTCCTAAATATCTGAATTTTGAAGGAGCCTGTCTCCAGTTGCCAAAGCTCTGAATAGTCTCTCAGTGGATGTTTGAGATGTAGGACCACCGTTTCTGAATCAAAGATTTCACCACACTTTCTCACCAGTGTCAACTGGACAGCCAATAATTGCACAGTGAAAATGGGGCCTTTACTTTTTGGGGGATTTACCTTTATATGACAGTTGAGTAAGGTGAACAGGAAGGGGGGAGATAGAGAGGAGGGATGACATGTAGGAAAGGGCCACAGGTGGGATTCTAACCTGGACCGCTGCATCAAGGACTCAGACTTGGTACATAGGGCACAAGCTCTACCACTACTACTACTCAAACAATTAACCAATTAAAAAAAAGAAAAGAAATCTCCATATGACTTGTTCTATCCGACCAACTGTCCTAATCCTGAACATATTCTGTTTAAAAAACGGAGCAAAACCAATGATATTGTTTGAAAAGCAGAAGAGTTTTTGTCCTGTTTTGCTTAATGAATGACTGAAACACTGATAATTTGCTGTGTGGGCCCTCCTGCTGGATCAATAAGATGTACCCTCGATCCAGAGACAGAGAAAAACAGGGGATTAACACTGAATGTGTTTCATATCTGCTGTAAGTGTTTGTTTTTCTTTCATTCATCCATTCTGCTCAGGAGTGAGAGAACAGGAAAATAAAGAGACCAGGCGGTATGGAGAGTGTGTGAGATTAAAGCCCTCCCCTCTCTTCAAAGGCCGCCCATGTCTAATTATGAAAAGACTGTAAGAGTGAAGCAGCATATGGCAACCGTCCCTGCAGTATTCACTGACACTATTTCAAGCTGTCATAAACACACAAACACAGACAGACACACATACTCAAACATGGCTTCTCTTCACTTTGAGGTGCTTCAACTCAATTCAATTCTAACTTTATATCAGACTCAGGTTCCAGATAAAAGACAAAACATTAGATCGAATAAATTACATAAAAGCACAATAAAAGATCATGATTTAAACGAGGGAAAATACACAAAGAGACAACTAACAAGTGTCTCCACAGCTGGGATTGGTAAAGGTAAGGTAAAAGTAATGCACCCCAATGAAGCATGCATGTCCATCAGCTGTACTAATGCAACGGTCCAGCCTCACTAAAGAATGTATAAGTATGTGCAGGAGAAAGCCATATTATCTTGAAGGAATTAATGAAAGCAAGCCTTTTTAGATATTCATACTCATCCTGAGGGAACGTATAGGGCCTGTACACATTAGGGATAAGGAGTTTATTATAATTTCCTCTGATCAGCAGCATCTTCCGGCTCAGAGAAGCCTCTCCTGCTGTGACAGTTAAGTGCGGTGAATGAGAAATCACCTTCAGGACAATGAGCGTCATTATTATGTGTCATCCCTACCGCGGGGTTTCCCCACTTGATCTTTTAGCCTCTGAATTCTGCTTTGGCTGCCTCTCATCGTCAGTCATTTGAGGTTAAAGCTGCTCGCCTGCTTTGTACTCTGGTGGCTCCAAGTGGCAACAAGAGGTACTTTGAGTTTTGGAAAGATTAATGAATAAATCTTCTTTACTGGGCACTAAGGCTCACTGCCTGCAGCGAACCGGCAGCGTTCTGGCAGCAGGTTCGGATTATTATTGGTAAATTACATTTTCTTTGGATACAGCACTCACCTGCTTCTGTTTGGAGAAGATTAGGTTTCTCATTTGTATATTTTGATTTGGCACTAGAGGACTTCCTGTTTAAAGCTAATTTGAACAATGGGTTGTCAGTTAACAGGGAGGAAGTGCTCTACCACTCTTTCTCCCTTGTTTCCTGTCCAACTCTGTCTCTAATTTTCAACAGATCATAAGGCTACACTATGTACAATTTTACAGACTAAAATGTTTACTTCTTTCTCCCCCTTCTATTTTGTCTTAAATCCAATAAAATCCATAAAAACAAATCAATCAAGTTTTAAAGTTATCTCACTTATGCTCTATTGCCTCCGACACACAAGGCTGCATATATTATAAAAAGCAATATAATATCAAAGTATAGTATGATATACACGATAAAGCACAGCCACCGCAGACTCCACAAACATGGTGATAAATCTGCATCAGCACAGAGTGACGGCACACAAACGAAGCCCAGAGTGCCGAGCGCCGACTCATTTGTAAGCATTTATTCCCAAACTGTCCTATTGTGCTATGCTGAGATTCAAAGAGGCCAGTTCTGCTGTGATCCAAATGTTAACAGACAAATACCCATCGCTTCCCCAAGCAGGGCTAAAAGAGATGCCAGAAATGTGAGCCAAGCCATTACAGTGTGGTGCAGAGTAAACAGTGTCCGAGCTGAGCAGAAAACCTGAGCGGCTGCAGCTGAAAGAGTTCATGGCACAGTTTAAGTCGTTTGGACTAACTGTCTTTCACAATAATTAGTGTCTATTCATGGGTACTTTAGATAAAACTTCTTTATCTAAAGCAAAGTTTCAAGAAAAGATGTTGAACTTTATTTTTAAGAGAAGGCATGGATGGATATTACTGTGAGTTTTTATTGCCATGTACTTTTACACCCAGGTTTGATTATGTAGATGTTTATGTAAACTGTAACAAGAAATGTCTTTATGAATTACAAATATGTAATAATGTAGTTTTAAAGCCCAGAGTCCAAATATTGTAGCACAAATGTATGGATCAGTTAGTAATTATACAATTCTACAAAGATATCCATATCCCATATAGTCCCCATTGAGTTAGACATGCAGGCGGAGCTTGTGCTGGACCACGACCTGTTTGCAACTGAGTGAGCTGAGTGAACAGTTTGCTATTTGATAGTCTAATAACCAGAAACCTGGTTTCAGGACATTGTAACATGCATTTTACATTATCTTACGGAAATTCTATTGAACAAACAAATTAATCAAGAAAACGATTCTTAAGATTAATTGATAATGAAATTCAATTAGTTAAAATTAATTTCAGAGCTTGAAACAGGAGGAATAATCTGCTGGTCTTACCTTGGTTGAGCAGCAGAGCTGTAAAAGAGGAACAGAAGAGCAGTAAGTGATAGCTCACATTCAAAGTCAGACAGCAACAATGCAAATCAAAGGTTTATCCTAATAATACATCTAATAATACATCAAACTCCACTCTACGTTCAGATGAAACTCACAAATACCCACAGAAACCGTTGAGAGCTCAGATAGAGGTTGCTGTGTACATCACTTTACTGTAGAAGAACTCTAATTCTGTCTCAATTTCATTTAAAAGTCACTCACATTCACCCTGTCACACTCCCCCCACAAACAAACAATCACTTTCTGTTCTTTACCACAAACACAAATCTCTTCTCTCATCCCTTCATCTCACAGTGTAAGAAAATCCTCTGATATTTCAAGAAATACTGCTCTTTCTCCGTCTCTCCACAGAGAAAAAAGGAGGCGACTCAGTCCTTGTGTTGTTGTAGTGATGACAGGTAATAGATGAATCGATAGGTCCCTGAACGTGTGTGTAGTTGTGCGTGTGTGTGTGTGTCTTTGTGTCTGAGATGAGACAGAACTTTATTGATCCCTGTGGGTAAAGTGGGTCACTGAAGCAGCTAAAAAACTAAACAAACAGAACAAAATACAAAAAGAAAAGAAACAGGCTGTCGCACACAAAAAACCCCCCACAGATTATAAAAAACAAATACCGCACAAAAATATACAGGATGAATTTTAATTTGCTACTTGTGCAGAGTTTATTTGAAAATGAACTAATGCAGCAGTTAAAGATTACAAAGTTCCACTAACCATATAAAGAAGCCTGCTGTTAACATGATAAACAGCATCATTATATTGTTTTTATTTATATTACATAAGAATCAGACTGATTAACACAACAAAACCCTCCATGGAAAACAAGTTGTGTACTAAGGGCTCGCTATTTTAAAATCTGACTGAGTCATGACTCCCAGAAGGAGAAGGAATTTTGCACGAAGGATTTTAAAAGTAGTCGTCTCTGTGAGCTCAGTGTCAAAGCCACTGCTGCTGACCGTGTTAATAAGAGGGCATATTCAGCAGCCAAACTACAATAACACACATTAAAAACCCCAGCATGCACCTGTCCCTTTCACCCCGCGCTGTATCTGCTATAAGTCAACGTGAACATGAACCAGAGCTAAAAGGCAACATCATGTTTTTTGAAAGTGCCCTAAAACTGTTCAAAGATTGAGTGCACAACAAATATCAGCCTTCAGTGCTCTTTCAATAGTTTGAGATCGCTACAGAGGAAGTCTGGTCTGTATAAACCAAGCATCGAGTCCAACACTCAGCCCTATACGTTCTGTCTTTACTGTCGATCAACAGTTTTCCTTTGAGGTCAAATAAAATAATCACATTAAATCCAGTCAACAAAACATTCTGTATATACGTACCTGAGATTCCTCTCTTAAGCCAGCGTGGCTCCTCCAACACGATGAAGAAGTTTTCATGTTTTTCATATTCTTCATCATCAATTATCCTCACCTGGAAAGTCTGACTGCACACGCACAAACACACAAACACACAAACACACAAACGCACAAACACACAAACAGAGAGAGAAACAAACGTAGTTATATTTTGTATTTCTGCAAGCAAATGTACAATGTCATGTTAGAGGAGCATCCATACACAGACTTGTACATGCAGACTCACAGACGGACACACACACACACACACACACACACACACACACACACACACACACACACACACACACACACACACACACACAGTCAGGGACAGACACACAAACAAAGTAAAGCATTTCATCAATAACTAACGTAGTGCTCGCAGGGCCTTCACCACAGGTAGTGCTCATTATTGATGTGCTGGTCTTGCAAACCTCAAGGGCCATAAACACATTAACACACACTGACTCACACTCACTCACATGCACTCTCTCTCTCTCTCTCTCTCTCTCTCTCTCTCTCTCTCTCTCTCTCTCTCTCTCTCACACACACACCACACACACACACACACACAGTATAGAGCTGCCCACGTGGCAGTCTCCGTCCTGTTGAGTCTGATCACGACAAGCTGCATGTAAATCAGAGCAGAAGGAAGCTGGATGCAGAGAGAGAATCAATAAGTCCGTCAAAGGTAGGGGCAGAGGGAGAAAGTAAAGCATGTAATTATATACCTATAATTACCTGCAGTATAGGTGATTATTACTGTTTTAACCTATTTTGCCCTGAAGTGCAAATGAATGAATGATCTGAAAAGAATATCTACAACAATCTTATGGGGTTTCAAGGTTTATGAAGTTTGAGCAAAGTTAATAATATGAATTAATTAATAGAATGTGCTAAAAAGGCAACAAGACGTACATTTAATTTCCCTCCGTGCACGTGAGCGTAGCATTCAATTCAGACTTGTGTCGTGTTGAATGTGAAATGGAAATGTTACCACGTTCGATCTACTTATACTGTGACTTTTACGTAAAAGCGATTTGCAATTATTCAGATGTTAAAGGTGCAGTGTGTAGGATTTAGAAACATCTAGTGGTGTAGTTGCAGATTGCAACTCCTTCGCTTCACCCTCCTGTTACAAGCACAAAAGAAATCTATGCAAAACTCGTAGCTCTGTCTACAGTCAGTGTTTGGTTTGTCCGTTCTGGGCTACTGTAGAAACACGGCGGTTAAACATGAAGGCCTCCATAGAAGCTGACCTGCAGTCTCAATTGATAAAACAGTGATTCTTATTTTCAGCTGATTATACACTAATGAAAACATACTTATGAATATTATATTCTGTGGCATATTTCTGCCAATAGATCCTCCTCAATGTTTCGCACTGGACCTTTACATTGCTATCACATTTATGTAATGTCTCTGTTTTTGGTCTCTTCCAACTCCTGAAGGAAATATCTGTCTCTTTAGCTGCTAATTGCTCCACTTCGTTCACCAGCTAGTCTCTAACTGTGTCTGTCTGCTGTTTGGTGCTGAGCAGGTAGTGTACAGTGGAGCAGAGCTTTCTCTCTGAAAGTGACGGGATGGGAACAGTGACAGTGACTATAAACAGTAAAGTTGTGGCCGGAGAGTTAAACAATGAGCTGAAACTCACTATGAAACTCTATAAAGCCGAAGTGAAGCTGCAGATTCACTATAACAGACCCCTTTCACATTATCATTTCATACATTGTTATTATTACAATGTTGATTAAAGCATCGTTTAAATACCAGAAAATGAAACAAAACAAAAAATATGCTGCCAGTGATTTGACAGTGATATATACTGTATTTGCATAAGTCGTCATTCTCAGAAACGTTCGAATAATACATTAGAGTGAGGGCGACAGCACTGACACTGAGGAGAAAAGGAGCGACAAATTATTAAAAACAAAAACAAAATGGCCTTAATGCCACATGACGCCGGCCATACACGAGGGATGAGGAATGACAGCCTGTTGTGAGAGGAGAGGAAGTGATGATGACAAGACCTGTTAGTGTTTCTGTGGACCGCCACACTGAAATGTCACTATGGAAACCAACTCACAGACAGCAGAGCAGAGAGGGATAGAGGGTAAAAGAAAATGAAAGATGAAGGGAGAGGTTAGGAGAGGAGGAAATGAGAGAGGGAGGACGAAGAAGAAGTGAAGGAAGGATAGAAAAAGTGTTTAAAGAAGGGAGGGAGAAAATCCAAGAAGTATGCTTGATGGAAAGAGCAAGGGAGGGAGGGATGTATGAAGGAGGAAGGTGTAGAAGATAAGAATCCATACATAAGAGAAGGTGCAATGCACAGGAGAGAGAGAGAGAAACAAAAGAAAAAGAGAGAAACAGACAATTAAAAATGAAAGAAGACGGAAGAGAGAGAGAGATGGACAGATGCAATCAGCGGCCAGTAACCCTGCTGGAGAGCAATGTGGCGTGAAAATGACAGAAATGAAGGATGGAGATTAGATGAGGTGAAGATGAGCAGACAGAATGATAATAAAAGGGCTCGGCAGGAGAGTTACAGCAGGAAGGACACTGCTGAAAGCTACAATCTAAAGTTCTTCCATAAAAATTAATCTGATTTAGTTTACAAACTCCTCAAAGGTGATCCGTTTCACATCCGTGGTACGCGATGATATGTTACTACTTTGACTAATATTTTGGATATTTTACTTTCATTACATTATTATTTGATTTAATTTTTTATCATTAAATAAAATAAACAAATATTTAAGGTTCATCTTCATCTTTCACCTTAGAAGCAAAGAAATATATCTTAAATATATATACACAAAATGCACTTGCTACTCTGTGTTGCACTCTTACATCAGTAATTTTATCAAGCACTTCAAACTGGACAGAAACCATCTTTGTCAGTCTTTGTCAACAATCTCCACCGCTGGTTTGGTTGAAAGAAATCATTAATTCACCAAGTTAGATGAGAAAATAGCCATGAAACAGTTTGTATAGTTGCTGTGTAACATTAGCTAATCCTTGGGGACAAATGTGCCACTAAAAGAGCTTGTTTCTGCCACTGACAGACTCAGATTGTTAAGTGTCTGACAATGTTATGAAAAGGATCCCTAGACCTTTAGTTTAACCAGAAACAGACGTAATATCGACATCGCTCGCCACCAAACTCCAGAGACAAGAGCTGTAATTTTACCTCACATCCAAAATAAAACTCACCAAAACAGCAGGTTATGTAGCTCTCCTCAGCTGTACACAGAGGGACTCACATGCATGAACATACACGTGTGGACAGACCGGCTTTGTAAACAAACCACAGAGAGGCTGCGATAGCAACACAGGCTAAAGGATTGTGAGGTCTAACGTTTAAAGTTGGACTACACAGTTCTGAATGTCCACATGAATGTTAACTCTATTAGATACAAAGTTTAGACATGTGCAATGCGTAAACTATATATGTGGCCTTTTGGGGAGCTCACTTTTTTTGGGAATAATGGTGATTCAGCGCTCAGACTGAGTAATACGTTTATTTCTGATGTTTGAGTTAAAGCCAGTGGAAGTTCAGAATATTGCACACCACACTTCGATGGTGATAGCAAGAATCTTCTTAAAAGTAGTGATGAATCACCCTAATCTATGAATCATACCTCAGTAATAGTCTAATTTTATGCATGATCCATGATGATGAAAATACAGAAAAACAGAAATGCATGGTATTTGGTTTTCAGGAGAACTCATGTCTTATTAAGAGGAGTCAAGCTCCCCCTGGCGCCCCTCTAGTTCACACCTTGTGGGTATGTGTAAGCAAGTGTAAATACATCTTCTCTGAAGGGGAATAGATATTTGTGTTTTTAATGATGAGTGCTACATGCTTAATTTTGTTCTCATGACTGCTGGACAATTAAATGTGCAAACAGAGGAACCTAAACTCCTATTATTTGTCTCTATCTAGATGTGTCAAAAGCACAAAAGCCCAGCAGTTTGGTCATGACAATCCAGTTTCTAAGCAAAGCAAGACAGCAGTGTGGAGCTAAAGAACAGACCAAAAGCAAAGCTCCTGGTTCCAGGGACAGAGTGAAGGATGGAAACAGATGTGGGCAGTCCAGTTCCCAGCAGAGGTTTTTTCTTAACTATAATTCTACATGACATGTTGTAGTACCAAAGGGGAGCCAAAACTACTCTCCTAATAAAGCTCACTGAGGCAAAGACAGAGAAGTTAAAGTACTCAGAGTTGGCTGCAGGAGCATGAAGTACTGTGGAACTGCAGTCGCAGCAGTTTTCACAGTCACCGTTGGATCTGTTGGCTTGTCAGTGCACCATCAGTAATCAAGAAACTTAATGTAGTCGGACAGAAGCTTAAGAAGGCCACAGAGGGCAGAGACGGTAGGAAGAAGAAGCTTGTGGCCGTCGATTAGGGTGAAAAAGGTGACAACATTGTCAATCTGCAGCAGGATTGTTTCAGGTATTTGGTTCGAGGCTTTTGGAGAAGGTGACACACATTCAGACACGCTGACTGGGCCATCATTAGCCACTTGAAAAACAATCAGGAATCAATCCAGCCTTAACAGCAGAGCCACGGTGGTGCTGAGACTGTGAAAAAAAAGGTTTTCCATCATCACAGAAACGCACCAAGACCCATTCATTCTCCCCATCACCCACCACTAGTCCTGTCTCACCTAATTCAGGTCTCTGTCAGTCAATGAACCATTCAGTCAGTTTACATCAGCTTAGAGCTGCTGGAATCGATATCACGCAAGCAGTCTGTCACATGTGCTGCACAGACATAAAACCAGGCCTCTGAAACAAAGAAACACACCACTGTCCAAGGAATTAAAAGATGCCCTCAATCAATTTATAGTCCACCATGAAAAGTAACGCACCATGAACACAAACACACAAGCTTAGAGAGGAGTCAGCATGAGTGTGCCGGGCCTCCCCTCTGGTCAGCCTTGATAAATAATGGATAGGATTGTTGTTCTGGCAAGCACAAGGGTGGAAGAAGATGGAAGACAGAGCTGAAAGAGGTGAAGAGGAGAGAAAAGGTGAGAAAGGAGGTGACAATAAATGAGAGGAAAGGTGAGGAGGAGGAAGAGAAAATGAGGATGAGGATGGGAAAGGAGTAAAAGGTGATGAGACAAACAAGAAAGAGGGCAAAGACAGAAATAAAAACATCCCTCTGCTCCTTCCTTCTCTTGTTGCTCTTACTGTTTATTGTTCGACAAACTCCCTAAAATTATTTATTTTCTTTGGCTCCATTCATGTAAGAAATAGAAACCTGCAACCTGTAACAGAGACACAGGAGATTTAATGCTGTTGAACGAGATTTAAGGTCAACAAACTACTGATAAAGCCACTGAACTTCCAACACAGCCACTGTGTGACCAGCAGCAGAAGATGGAGGTTGTACAGAGATTCTCTGAGATTTAAATGTATACCTGGTCACACATGTTCTTGTAAACAGATAAACAGTACACTAAAATATGTTTAAGAAATTATTTAAGGCGAGTTAGCGGCAACGCATTAACATAATCTGGATTCATATTTGATCAGCAGTCTTTTGAAAGTTTGAACTGAGTTTGGTTTGTTGAGCTGGACGGACTCACTGAGAGTGACTTCCCAACGTAGCCCCGCACTAAAGCATACCCGGCTTTATGGTCTATTTTACTCTAAATAGGACCATCATTTACTAAAAGAACATCATGCTGTATGGAAGAAGCCTGAAACTAGACCATAAATTCATTAAGAAACTGTTTACTGAGCTCATCAAGAGAGAAGTCAGGTCATTTTCCCATTAGGTTTAATACAAACTCAATTCTTTTTGCTACCAATGGAGCTGCCCCCTGCTGGCCATTAGAAAGAATGCAGGTTTAAGACACCACATTGGCCTCAATGCTCAGAACTCAGTCCTCTAATGAAATACTATCAATGTTTGACTCACGTGGTCTGGTCGTTGGTGAACTCCAGCTCTCCTCGGGCGTCCTCGTAGTCGTCTCCAACCTTGGCGGTGCCTGACTCGGTGTGGTAGGGCAGGATGACAGTGCCGCGGGCGCCTGAGTTGCGCACCACCGTGATCTCCATGGTGCCCACGCTCTCGCTCACCCGCACCATGCGATCGCTGAATGTGAAGATGCCAGCGTGGTCGTCATCCAGGATGGTCACTGTGGCAACCAGGGGCTCAACCAAGCGAGCTTTGGGGGCCGCACCCACTTCATCGCTCTCAAACATCCCCTCTGCATCGCCAACACGCAGATTCAGCAGGCGCACAAAGAAGTGCTCATCCTCTTCGAAGATGTCGTCATCGATTATACCAACCTGGAGATAAACAGACAGAAGGTCAATACCTTCAGGCATGAATGAACTGCACTGACACCAGCTGTGAAAAGTTTCAACCAAGTCAGGAAGTTCAACAAGTCCAGACCCTCCAGGGTGTGTTATTGTGCTTTAACCTATGGCTCAGTCAAGAGACAAAGCTCTGGAGGTGGAATTTTATTTTACAGGAGTTGAATACTGAATGTTTTCTTGAGCCGTATAAGAAAAAAAAGATCCCAGTCTAGTGTGATTATTATGTGAACTGCAGTTTAATTGTATGTTCTGAATTTAAAGTGTATTGATATCAACTTAATGTTTGAGTCTTTGTGCGTCTGGACGCCTCTGCTGAATATTGAGAGCAGACGTCATCTCCCTCTCAGCTGACACATAAACAGAGTCTCCAGTTACAATACTCATCATCTATATGAGATTGTTATCATCTGATCATGCCACCGCACAACAACGGACAGGTGGGCGCTCCCAAATCAGATTAGTCTGGCAGTGTAATCCAATGAGCCAGACTACGTCCTGCCATGTGTTCAGACTTCAACATAGTCTGGATGGAGTCCCTCCACGATGCAACATAATAAGAGATGAAGAAGGCGACTGAGAAAATGTGATTCCTTTTTGAAAGGTAATATAAATTTAACGACGAGGTGTGGATGAAAATTGTTCCTGAAACCAGCGATAACTGATTTTTTCCCGGAAGCCAGTTGATATGGTGAATGTATGAGCAAACAGTAGTTTATCTACACATCCAGCAGATATGGAGCGACTCTGACATTCACTTTCTGTGTGAGTTTGTAAGGCTTTGTTTGGTCCAACAGTAACTGAGCATCATTCTCCATTAGAGAGCTGGGGGGGGGGTGTTATGATTGACTGTCTCATCTCTGTTACTGATCGGGTCAATCAGCCTAATCAGGATGCAGCTCAGACCTTCACTCAATCAGCACACGTGTTGTGACAGTTAATTTCATTTTCATTTCCTGCACAACCTTCCACACATTAAAACCTTGGAGAATCAAAGTTTGTTGTTTACTCTGAGACATTCAGGGATTCAGTTAGACTTCGTCAAGTTTGATTTATTTATTTGTAATATCCAGCTGAAAAAGGACAAATTAAATAAAGCTTCTGTTGCTTTTGATCTGAAAAATGTTTCTCTGCAATTAATTGATAGATCATAACTGGCATTCGCACAAACGTATAATCTGTTTGAAACATGCAAATGACTAGACTTGAATAATTGTCAGCACTAATTTATCCTGATTTAAATCCAGATATAAATCACACATATGCTCTCTTATTCACCCAGACTATCCCTTATTGAACCTCTGTGTGAGACTTTTACAGAAGTATTCGGAACATCATTCACACCCTCTCCTCTAACAGCAGTTGTTTTCCAAAAGGACTTAACTTTATTCAAACAACAGACTCAATAACTTTTGCTTATATTATGCAGATTCTCCACCTAGTAAACATAAAGTATACTCTCAGAGGCTCAACTGACGGGTTCTATAACTAATGTGTGACAGACTAAAGCTGCACTTCATTTAACGCTCATCGGACTATATAAGCTCGATTAAAGCACCAGTGTGTAGGATTTAGTGGCATCTAGCGGTGAAGTTGAAGACTGTGAACCTAAAATGTGAAAGCCCCAATTTACAGCCAGTGTCTGGTTTGTCTGTTCTGGGCTACTGTAGAAACATGGCGGACTCCACAGAAGGAGACCAGCAGCATCTGTAGATAAGAACGTCTCATTCTAACAAAAACACAATGATTCCTATATTCATTCACTAATGGAAACATACCTGAATATTTGATTCCATTTCTGCCAATAGATCCTCCTAAATGTTACACACTGGAGCTTTAAGCCTGGAATTATCATTTGGATGGATGTTTTATTATTAATTAATTCTTTAATTGTGAAATGTTATTAATTTAATTTATTTATACTGTATTTTCTATATCTTGTTTGCTTTTATTATTACCACTAAGATTATGATTTGTAATACTCCCTGTAAAGGTACATTTGAATTTTTCCTTTCTGTCTGGAATATCATTGTTGTATTTTATTACACTGCTATAATCTTGTGACTAGATAAACTCCCATTTCATCATTGTGGTGCAAATTAGATTCGTAATATAACTCGAACGAGCGAGTCTCTCCTTTTTTTGATATAACAATTATGAGTCTTTGTTACAAACAACAAAGAGTGTCGATCTCTTTCTGTTGAATCGGTGGAGTGTGAAGTGACGGTCACACGGTGGAACGGACACAGAAATGAAAGTGGAGTTCTGGCAGATGAGTGAGACGTTCAAGTGTAATTAGTTTCTCTGCTCATTTGTGGCATCGATGAAATCTGGTCTGCTGTATTGATGACTGACACTGATCATCTTATCTATTTATTCACGGTAGATGAACCGATTTATGCTCCCCCATGCTCCTTTTATGTGACTCTTTGGGGCTATTGCACCGCTCTCCTCTCATCCAGCCCTCACACTTCTTTTGATCCTTCATTACACTTAAAATCTCAGGAGAAATTACCCTTCTTACCTCGCCTTTACACCGTGCAGTCATCCTATATGCTTTTAATTCACAGAACATAAATTATATGCTAGGTTTCTGTCTTCCAATCAAAATCTTTGTTTGATCCCAAGTTTGATTCTCAAAGCTTGGGAACATCTAATCAAAGACGGTGAACTTTGAAGCAGCTCAGTCAGTGCAGTAATATACATTGCGTTTTCTTTATTCATTATTCTTTGAATGTAATTACATAAATTCCTTCTAGTTCGAAGTATTTAAAAACCACACAATAGGATTCCCTCTCTCTTCCTTCCTCCCTCTTCTCTTTACTCACCTTGATCTCTCTGCGAGTCTCTCCAGGTTTGAATACCAGAGTTCCTTCGCTGTACTCGTAATCTGACCCAGCGTTGGCTGAGCCGTCCTCTGTCCTGTAGTCCACATAGAAGGTGTTCTCTCCCAGACCCCCTAAACAGCAGAAATAAGACAAATTAACACTGGGCACATCGCACATTATCAGTATATTCATTCATTAGTAAATATATTTTTTTAAAACGTGAATTCATCTGTGTTTAAGAACTTGGCACAAACCCTTTTGTTTTATACATTAAGCTCTAATGTTTCCAGTCTGAATCCAGAATTTATCTGTAGTTATATTTAATATTCTGCATTGAGAACAATTTAAAAGGAGAAATCTAGTCTCTGTATGAAAGGTGTCCTGAGATCAAAAATAACTGAGTATATAACCCTGTCAGATTATTTACATCCTGATGAATCTCTGCTCTGGTCTAAAGTAAAGAAGAACTGTGTGGTGCAGATTAGACCTGAATACGGCTTTACCTTTAATAGACACTAAAATATAATTGAAGTAGCAATGTCCATTACTGTTGAGAAAAACTCCATATTACTCTTTTATCAAAAACTATAATCTATCGTGTTATAAAATACAAAGTCTTATGAATGTATAATGGGGTGTAACGGTATGTGTGTTCATTCTGAGGCCGTTCAAAGCAGGACGTTTGGTTCAGTATGTGACTGCCTCGGCTCAGTACGACCTGTGACCCAAAACCGTCAAAAACATTTATGTTGACTACTCGCACTCGTGGAACAGAAATTATAAAGCTCGAATTTTACCTGGAAAGTTCAGTGCACCAGTGAGTCACGCTCAATGGGCAGCGATCAGTTTCAAACCTTTATATTTTTTAACATCCGTAATGTATAAAACCTTGTTAATAAAGTATTTTACATTGTGATATTTCTACCTTTACTTAAAGGACCAGTGTGTATGATTCAGTGGCATCTAGTGGCGAAGTTGCAGATTACAACCATTTGAAGACAGCTCAGCCTTACAAGCGTGTAGAAGAAACTACATAAAACACTCTCTAGAGCCAGTGTTTGGTTTGTCCCTACTGGGGTAGAAACATAGCGGTTCAACATGGCAGCCTCTATAAAAGAGGACCCGCTCCCTCTGTAGATATAAACAGCTCATTCTTATATTCAGGTGATTACACACTAATAAAAACATGCCTTTGAATATTGTATTACATTTCTGTAAATAGATTCTCCTAAATGTTACACACTGGACCTTTAAGTGAAGGATCTGAGCTCTCCTTTCACCACTGCTTTAATCCAGTAATTACAGAGCAGTTAGGGCTTGTTGCTCTGAATTCGGACTGCAGAAAAAAAATGAAACTCAGAGAATAAAACTCAAACAGATCAAAGACAGTGAAAAAGTGTAGTTTGAAATGTATGCATTCATTTGAAGGAAAAAAAATAAATCTTATACTTTATTACCACACTGGTCTTTTCTTCTAACTTATTCATGTGAATTCAGTATGAACTCATTACGTATTTATTTCACTACCTTGGCAGACCACGGCCAGCGTCAGAATGCCGCAGTTCTCCATGCACTGACTGTGGGCGCTTTCAAATGAGATGCGGCTGCATATCCCCAGGTCTTCATCCTCCGGTGCTTCCTCGTCGGCTACGACTGCACGGCGAGCGTGGTCGGCTGCGTGCTTCTTCAGGACGTTTCCAGCTCCGATCATCATACGAGTCGCCTTGAGACAGAAGGGATGTCGGGGTTAGAAGAATTAAAGTGTACAGAACTCCCTTCACATTTATTATCACTTTCTTTCACAACAAGAAATAGACAGACATTTCTTTAATGTAAAGTCTATGAAGTGTTATAATTGTTTCACTGAAGCTCATGAACCTGTTGTCCTGTTTCATTAGGAGCTGATTCTCAAATCAGTTGCAGAAACAGTTAAAGACAAAAGTTCAGTTCAAGACGTTCTTGAACTACTTTATGTCCTTTTGTGGGTCTGGACAACCTTGTGTGTTGACTTCAGGGACTTATTAATAATAAGTGTGTGTGTGTGTGTGTGTGTGTGTGTGTGTGTGTGTGTGTGTGTGTGTGTTTATGTTTGTGTTACCTGGATGCGGTAGAAGGCTCTGCTCTTCTGTTGGTGCAGCAGTGCGTAGTAGTTGGCCAGCTCCATCAGCTGGTCCAGGTCTTTGTCAGGATATTTCTGCTTCAGCTCCTTCAGGATACGAATCACCTGAAGGAGAGACGAGAGGACACACTCATGATTACATCATCCACACACACCGACAACATGCACGGCTGTCCGTACAAACACCGACTGTAGAAGTGCTCAGTTTCTTGCCATTGCCTCATTTCCTAAAAAGCTGGAACTTTCAAAGGGTACTTCCTATTAGCAAACGACCTCAAATGATTTTCATGTTTTGAATTCTGTTGAACGTCGGCTCGGTTTCATCTGTGGGTTGAAAAAACATTCTGTAACTTTATAAGCTGTTGAAAACATTTCCAAACCATTTAGATGCAGTGCCTGAATCTTTTAACAACTTTTAAAAAATATATTTTTGTGCCAGCTGGAAAATGTAGTCTGTTAAAGTTTAAAAAACTAAATGAACTGTTGAACTACCAGAAGATAGTCAGTAGGACTGGTTTAATTCATCAGCACATTAGGACATTACGTTCAATGTTTAACTGCATGGGAGAAATTAATAAAATATAAAGCAAATTTTGTTTTCTTTCATTTCATTTTCATTTTCACTCACAGATGGTCAATCAAAATAACCCAAAGTTTTAGCTCGAGAGAGTGAAGACAAGTACAATATGATATACAATTATAATCAAATTACTTCATTCTCTACTCCTCAAGAACTGCTGCCAAGTATTTTGTTAGAAACATTTAAGTGGACATGTTCCTTGATTTGGTAGTATTTTTATTTTTATTTTTTTTTATTATATTATATTATATTATATCAACTTTACATCGCTGCTCTGACGGTCACTATCTGACTGCCAGAAAGCATGTTGTGTTACTAGGACAATGTAAGTTGTCATGTCAACTGCATATTAAAGACAGTTTTTAATATGGGGATTTTTATATTTTTATTTCATGTTGTTGTTTTGTTTCATAATGTAACAAATGTAGTTCATGTAAATGAGCCAAAAGTTACTCCAGGAAAGGACGGAGTCTTGAAATTGTGTGAACGAGACTGAGTCGGTGTATAGATCATATCTTGGTTGCTAATGAGGTAGTAGAAACATCTGTGAGTGGAAGTGTAGCCGCAGATTGTCTCGGCTCTCACATCCAAACCAAGTTTCTACACATCAGTCACCCTGAGTAGCACAATGCAGGTGTGGACTGCACTCAGCATATAAAACAATCCATATTATATGATCCATATAATACGATCCATATAATATGATCCATAGGACGACATTGCATCAAAAGTCAGATTTTTAATATTCCTCCAAGACTGTTGGTAACATTATGAGCGAGTGGGCCAATAAAATCTGAGTAATAGTGCATATCAGCCAAAAATTATTTATGTCATAAAACAGGTTTCCATCCAAATGTAATGCAAATCATAACTGACTTTTCATAAAATCGGTACAAAAAAATGCAAATGAAAAAAGGAGTATGAGAAATAATTCTGCCACCCAGAACACAATCTTGTTGTTTCTAATCTCCCTTCAGCTCTTTCCTTCTGTCCTTCTCACTTTCGTCATGCGACTGTTTCTCTCTCGGTGTCTCCTTTCTCTTCGACCTCTCTGACCTCATTATCATATTTTCATCTTTGTCTGTCAAACATCCCACAGGTTCTTCTCTCCGTCCTGCCATTACCTCTTAAACTTCTCATTAAACATCTCATTTGCTCTCTGTCTTCTCCTCAATGTAGGAGCAACTAATAATCTCCTTTTAGCACCCCATTAGCAGGTGTACATGGGTGTAATTGTGGGTAATGTAATCTGCATCTGCTTTCTGCTCAGCTATCAGGTAAAAAGTTTACAAAGAATTTGGCATCACAAAACACAGAACAAAGCATGCATCACTTTAGGAAATGGAAATCTAAACTGGAGCCATTCATCACAGCAGGAAACAACGCCAACACTTCACTGCAACTTTCACTGTCTCCTGCAGGGAAATTATCCATTATTTTGCACTCCAATCTTGTCATAATCACAACAGCAGAAATTGTGTTTTATATGTTAAGTGCATTTTTCACAGAGAAAAAACTCGGGAAATGAGATTACAGAATTATTACAGAGCACAATCTGCAGTGATAACGGTGTCTCTAAATGAGTTCTGTTACAGTTATGTGTGAATAAACTCTTCTTCTCCTCGCTCTCCTCTCTTTATTTCACCCTCTCTGTAAACAATTTGATGTTGAATAAATGTTGATGAGATGTTCTGCACCAACCAACCGGTGTGTCTGTAACAACATGGCTTGACACTCAAACTGGACTTCCTTGATCGTTTTTAATGTCTCAATAGTCACATCCACCAACGTAGTCACTTGTTTTAACGCAGGACTGTTTTTGGTCTGAACGCTGTTTAAGACACGACAGATTATAAATCATCATTTTGCCTCTTTCTGTGCTCTTTATTAGCTACTCCAAAATAAAATGAAATGAAACCCAACAGAAAAAGATCTCCTGGTTTTTGGCCACAAATCAATTCTGATTTTGGATCAGTTGTTCTCTTTTTTTTGGAAATCTTTCCTCCAGTTACACAATTACTCAAATGTGTATCTTTAGTTGCTTACAGATCAAAACAAATTTCAATTGTGTTTCATTGAGACTTTTCTAGTGATGAGAATTTGAACCTTTGCAACAGACACACTCAGCTGACATCCTCTTCTTATATACCCAAGGGACAGGGACAAGGACAGGGACAAGGACAGGGACAAGGACAAGGACAAGGACAAGGACAGGGACAAGGACAGGGACAAGGACAAGGACAAGGACAAGGACAGGGACAATCATAACACAGGATATTGTTTTGTGGAAACTGAACTGAAGGAAGTAGAGGTTGAGGTGAGTGTGTAGTCATCTGGCTGCAATCTGAAAATGTCAAATCTTGGGGCCACAGCACATAAACAGAGTTCTAAAATTAAATATTTGATATATGTTTGTTATCAAATATTTTATTCTCTATACTTCCATGTATCCACAAATCCATTTCTCTCTGTCTCTCACCTCTTTGCGGCTCTCGTTCAACTCCTTGCTGCTCTCCACATTGACCATCGTGCTGTTAGAGTTGGGCAGGTTGCCCCTGGCTCCCGTTGCCATGGCCCCCGCTGCAGCACCGATGTTATTGGCCGCAGTGCCTGCTGTGCCATCCTGAGTGCCGCCCCCGCAGTTCTCAGCAGGGACCACGGTGCCGCCTCGTGGTGGGAACTTGCCGTCTATGATCATCTCCATGCCGCCTTTGTTGGGTGTCAAGTCTCCCTCGGTCTCCACGACGATGCCATGGCGCTTGTCTGCACGGTAACGCTTGCCCATGTACTTGTAAAACAGCAGGCGGCGGTCGGCGATCCAAGCCAGGATGACACACACTGGGAAGTACAGCAGGGTCACCAGGGCCTCCCACACCTGAAACACACATACAGATTCTCCTAAACATCCCTGTTTCATCAGATCATTAAAAACATCACTTCCTCTCTTTGGGCACATAGTTCCTGAAACTGGGCACAGGTACAACTGGAAGTGCAAACTCTGGGCACATAGGAGTAAATCTGGTGCAATGCGGCACAAACTGAGTATCAGCAGGTGGTGGAAGGGGGGAACTTAAATAAGAGCCAATTCACATCAGCTGATCTCCTTTAAACACAACAGACAGCTCAAGGGACCGAAGGAGAGTCCAGGCCGAATGGGAAATAAACAACAACCCAAAAATGAAAATACGCCTCTTCAAACATTCATATACAGCAGTACAGGTAAACTGTCAGGAGAAGATTTATGTTCCTTTTTGAACTGAGTTTAGATTTAAAAAGATACTGAAATGAAATAACAATATTATTTGAGAAGATGTTGATGCAGTTAGGCTATAACTACACTCATTTGTAGTGAGTCAATTTCAGAGATGGAAACCTGGACAAACCCAAAATATTTACGTCAATACTTTCTGACACATAAACAAAATGTGCTTCATGCCAAAACAAGTGACATTAGTGGTTGTATCACTTCATCCACCTTTATGTAAGAGGCTTCATTTGGGACCAAATTATATAAAAGTACGCTGACTACCAAACATGTGAGACAAAAAGGGCACTGCAACTAGAGCCCAGCGCGGGACTGTTTTCTTAATCCAGCTCCCGCCTGCTCCTGGTGGATTTCTGGTCATTACCCCACGCTCCCACTGTGCGTGTTTTCCACTCGCGGGATCCCAATCCCAATGCAGTCCTCTAGCTGCAACTACACTTGTGCTGCTGCCTTTTTACAGATGAACAGTGCCACTCAGTATCAGTGTCACCACACTGAGTCTGTCTCACCTCCACAACGCCCGGCGACATGACAGACAGGATGAGGTAGAGCCAGATGTAGGCGAAGATGCTCCAGAAGGCGGTGATGAAGAACACCCTGAGGTGTTTGATCTTGCGGGTCTCGCCGGCGGGGATCGTCCACACGCAGATTCCGAGGATCACAAACATGTTGAAGGCGGCACTGCCCACGATGGTTCCTGGTCCCAACTCACCAGCCTCGAACTTGTGACCACACACCTGGAGAGATGTCGTGTGTGGGAGGGAAGACATACAGTAGAGATTGTTCACTGGTTTTTAAACACACAACAGAGAGAGTTACGTTTAATTCATTTGAAAAAGACTGTAACAACATGGCTTATTTTGCCAACAGACAGTCATTATTGTTTTAAAATGGATGGATATTACAATTATGTAGATACAGCTGGAAAGGAATACGAGTATTTTGCTCTAGAATAAAGAAATTAGATTTGATGAAGATGGAAAGAGAAGGTGAGAAAAAAGAGTGTGCTGGCAGCATCAATGAATCCACATCACCTGTGATACAAAGACAGGGTGGAGTATTGTGTGTGTGTGTGTGTGTGTGTGTGTGTGTGTGTGTGTGTGTGTGTGTACCTCTATAACAGACAGCAGTATCTCCGGAGCGCTGGAGCCGAGAGCCATGAGTGTCAGATTGGACACTGTTTCGTTCCAGATTCGAACCGTCGCCACTGATGTTTCCCCGTTTGGCATAGTGATGGTCACTTCCTTCTCCTGATGGCCAAAACACACACACACACACACACACACACACACACACACACACACACACACACACACACACACACACACACACACACACACACACACACACAGTGTTGACAAACTCCATGAGCAAGCTTTAAATTCCATGCATACGCCCCCACAGGTGTTTCCAATTATTTTGGCTGATTAGGCCTCTGCTCAGGCTGAAGAAGGGACAGACTATGTAGGGATGTACCATCCACCAGATTCACTGATGAAGTTACAATGATAAAGGGGTAATTTGTCCCAATCTAACAGGTGCAACAAAGCCAGAGTGAGGAGGATCAAACAGTCTATGTACATCCACACAGACCTGAATAGCGGTCTAATCATCCAGAATAAGCTCATTGATTTGAGTAGTTGTGACAGAGGAGTGCAGGGCCTTTAAAAAACAATTAAAAGATGTGAGGACTTGAAAACTAGCATTTGTCAAATAAAGTATAAATATATCAGTAAATATCAGTTAATGTACTCCACATACAGGTAAATGTAATGCTTGTAGGTGTACTGTATATGTGTATGTTCACTGTATTTGCATTCTTATTAATTTTTCTCCTTCTCAGCTGCTGAAACACTCATCCACTTCATCACCTCACGACTCGACTGCTGCAGCAGCATTCTGCACATCCACCAAAGTCCTGAACAAACTACAGTACATCCAAAACTCAGCTGTTTGTTCACTCACCCAGAGATCACATCACCCCTGTCCTTCAAAACCTCCAGTGGCTCCACATTCAGCAAAGAATCCAGTCCATAATTCCCCTCATCGTCTACAAAGCCCTCTGCAACCCCTCCTACCTCACCGACGTACTCCCACCAGCAGCCTCAGACGCTATCCTCCTCACCCCTCTCACCCGGGTCCAAGCCCAAGACCTGGGAGGGCCAACACCTCAGACTTTCTCCCTCACTCCCATCAGTCAAAACAGCACTCAGATCCCATCTATTTAAATCTGCTTTTAATCTGTGATCAGTCACCCTATTCTTTTTCCTTTATTGATTTCCAATCGCTATATAAAATGAATATATAATAATCATTATTACCTTTGCAAAATAAACTCTTGGGCTTATCTAACACAATAATAAAATTACTGTCTTTCCTTGTAGCCTGTAGCAAACAACAGGAAGCGATAAAAGATCATCAGCATCATGATCACATACAGCTCCACACTATTGTGATGTAAATTACACAAAGGCAGCAGTTGTCATGGGGATTATTCAACAAAGGAAGTTATATATAAAAAACTAAATGTCACGACTTTAAAAACAGACACATCACACATGCAAAGACAAAACCAGTTTCTGTTGGCTATACCTCAGCACAATTCTGGTCTAATAAACCTTTATATTACTCAGGCTACAGGCCATCAACGCTGGTGAACTGGATAATAATGATAAATATTTGTCATAAACACCAAATCTGCGTGCAGTGGCCACTTTCAGAGCACGGTGAAGAAGAAACAGAAATCTGCAACATAAACATAAAACGATGATACACAGACCCGACTTCAATAACTTCAGGGGACAAACCAACCCTCTGCAAGAAGAGGTGTTGTGGCTGCCACAGTGATGGATTGTGGGATACACAATAGGACAGTCATTTACATTGATCTCGAAAAGGACATATGAACGCTCCCCTTCCTCCATTAACCCTTTGATTTCTCTTTATTCAACCTTCCTTTGCCTTCTGCTATATATCTGTGTTACCTCTGCTTTCCTTCGCTCTATCTGCTGAAGGGAATTCAGTGGTGATGCAGATATTCATGGACTGAGTGAAGAGAAACAAACTGGTATGATTCCTGTATTTCTTTTCACCAGAGTTTGTTCTGTATCATGTCTACTGAAACAGGCAGCTGTGAGTTTACTAACTGAATAATGTCATTATATACAAACTGCTATATTGACAATCAGTTTCTGAAGAATCTCATTAGACATATTAAGTAATATCATTGATTTTCCTGTAGCAACCTCACACTGGATGACAGTTCAGAACGGTTTGTAATCAGATGATGAAATTTCATTACGTCAAAAAGTAATGAAACCGTGGGGAGAATCATCTTCACTTTCCCTAATGCACCACTCTGGATGTTCAGCTATTTTCCATTAACTCGCTCTGTTTAGAGCTATTATCAAAAGCAGGATGATAGGAGGTGAAGTTTAATCTTGTTTAATGTCTTAACATATTGTAATATCTAAATGAGTAACCTTAGTGGTTGGAAATGAACAAAGCTTGTGCTGTGCTTCATAAATCAATACATTAGAACGTAAACTTACTGAGGTTAAATAATAATCTGTTCCTGTTTACTTGTTAAATAAAGGTTAAAAGGTTAAAGAATGAGCTGTATTTATTTATTTACCTTTGTTTGTCCTGTTTAAACTGCCAATCAGTCCCCTCTCAGACAACAAGCACTCCATCGGATCCGGTGATGCTTCATCGGATCTCATGTGGAGCAGTTTCGTCTTTCAGCATACTAAAACCATTTAACCCTCTAAAGAGCCATTCAGAAGTTCAAGCTCAGGTTAGTGGAGGCATTTCATAAATCTTAAAAGAAATAAAACAAGAACTGGATAAAACTACATCTATATACTCGTCAGTCACAGAACAAACTGAAAGAGTGTGCTTGTAAAATAGCAGAGCAGCTTCATGAACTTATCTAGCTTTAGCAGAGGTGGCAAAAGTACACACATTCTTGACTCAAGTGGAAGATTAGATAAAGTACTGATTCAAAAGTACAGCAGTCTTGATGTTGGGAAGACGTGCAAGATGTAAAAACCTTTGGAATAGGCTTCCACTTTTATCAAAACGCTGCCCCTCCATTAATCATTTTAAGACGTATATATATCAATAATTCCCTTCAAACGCATGAAAAACTAAAGTAACAAGCCTGTTTTGAAAATGTGAGGAGTAGATATTTGTGTAAAAATGTAGGCGGTAAAAGTAGAAAGTTGTCATAAAAATAAATGCTCAAGTAAAGTACAGATACCTGAAAAAACTATAATTTATTTGTACTTTGTTACCACCCACCTCTGAGCTTCGGGTACCAGGAACCATGAAATATAGTGATACATTTGCAGTTGAATCATTACATGAAGCTGCAGTTTTACTTTATAAAGGAACAATAATGTTCTTGTGAGCAGAACAGCAGACAAAATAAGTTTTCAGCCGACCACAAGGAAAATGTTCCTGATTTGTGTATTTAGTTTAGTGAGTCTATTTTTCATCGTACTCTCTCCTTCCTGTCATTTTTCCGCCCTCCAGCTGACCTTCACGTCTCCTTGTCCCACTCTCTCATACTGAGCCTCCATTCAAACCTCCTGGGACCCTTCCTCTCTTTTTCTACAGCGCTTATGACTTCATAACCTCAACATCTGAACCATTACAGGCCGCCTGGGACAATACACACAACACACACACACACACACACACACACACACTGCACCAACTTTCACCAACTGTACTATATACTGATAGTGATGGACTACACCTCAGTATTTCCCTCTATGTTCAGTCCAAATAGACACACTTTATGACTATTACCCTCTTGGGTAAACACACAGTTCTGTCTCTGTCTGTGTCTCTGAAAACAGCTGAGGGTCATTTTCACCATTATAAAGGATAAATGGATAGAGATCCATGTAATCCCCATTAAGGAAACTGACCAGGCCTGGCTTGCAGTACAGAGACAATGACATGATTATGTAACACTGGCAGCTTCACTTCCTCTGGGCAATCTTGCACATTCATTAACCTTGAATATAACAAGTACTAATGAATGATTTATGCACAATAGAGACTAAAAAACTAGGCCTGCCATGATTTGAGTCATCAGTAGAGAAGACCCCAAGTGGACTCTGGTTTTGTGTGTTGAATCTCTGCATGTTTGTTGTTTAATCACTGAACACACAGCAATGCAGGAGCGACAGCATGGCAGGCTGTAAACTTTACAACCGAGTCTTAAAATGACCACAAACCACAAAACTAACTGTGGTAGAAGTGCAGAAGAGTGGTAGTAAATGGAGGGCAGCGGGGACAGTGGCTGCTCTGATGCGCTCTGCTCTGGTGCTGACTGTCAGTGAAGTCAGATAAACCCCCCCTGAACCAGACAGTGGTACAACCTCCTTTATTGCCGTCCACTGTGACTCTTCTGCCGACAGTGCTATCAGCAGCTCGGCAGGAGAGACACTTTGTGGCACGCTGGGATTTTATAACTGAAATATGAGCAGAGGATGCAGACTCTCTGACTGTGTGGAGATCACGTCACAGATGATGAAGAAAGACATTAACACGTGAGGTAGGCTTAAACACGACACTCATGTAGGCTGGTATAGCAAATTTGCATCGAATGAACATGCACAACTTTCTTAATGATTTGGGTAAGACTGGATCATATTTTATAGAGAATATATTAGCGTGCAACTGAACGGGGCTCAGCAGCCTCCCAGCAGCAGCAGTACCGAGGTGATTTACGGAGTTTCAAGATGGACTTGTTGCTAGAAATATTGTTAGCTAGTTAGGCTAAAAACACCTCTGTCGTCAACATCGGATGCTGCATTCAGTCCCAGTCTGGACGTGTTGTTTACTGGGAGCTCCCAGTCCGACGGAGTCAGCTAATGAGTCCGCTACAGCTGCTGGACTGGGGAGACGTAACCACAGCACTACTGGCTACCGTGACCTTCCCTAACTGCCTGTTTCTACAGGAAATACCTAAATATACAGACGCAAATAGCAATCTGATTTCTGTTTCCCCCGGACATTTAGTGAATGATGATCACATGTAATCATTAACGAAGGGTAAGGCCACAAGCAAAGAAATGAGCTGAACTGTGAGCTTGTTTATTGTGTGAACTTACTGGATATATAGTGTGGTGCTGAACTGAAAAAAGGAACAAATAATTGAATGTATTCCTCCATTCACTCATTCTCACCTGTGAGGTGATGACCTCTATGGACGCCATGAAGCGGTCAGCGATGATGGAAACTCCCAGGAACATGTACATGAGTGACACAAAGTAAACCACAGCTCTGGCCACCTGTTCGCCGAGCCTGGGCTGGTTGGGCTCCCAGACGGGCAGCAGGATGCCGGGTCTGCACACCGGCACTTCGTCACACTTCTCTCTTCTGCTAGACGCGTTGCTGTTGCCATAAGAAATGGAAGGTGCGAAGGAGGAGGGGAACATGGAGGGCGAGACCACTCGCAGGTCGGGGTCACCACTGGGCACGCTGCGCTGGGACTCAGGCTGGCAGGGAGGCAGTGGGAGGAGGAAGAGGAGGAGGAGGAGGAGGAAGGGGGCGGGGGAGGCCAAGATAGACATGGCGGCGCGTGGTTCCCACGAGAAGTGGGAGGAAAGGGTGAGGCAGAGGGTTACGGGATTAGGCTGAGGAAGAGGGAGGTGGGAGGGGGAGGCGCTGGGTAGAGCTGAGGGTGGTGTGACTGGCTCACCTACAAGAAAGAGAGAAGAGAGAATGAAAAAGAAAGAGCAAATTAGTTTGTGAGACATTTTAAAGACTTTAACAGAGCACACAGTCTATCTTCTATACAGATATAAGAGGAGCAAAGAAGTGTGAAGGTGTGTTGAACACAGAGGCAGTCATTAAATACAAAGTCAAAGCAAAGACAAGATTGGACACAAAGCAGACTCGTTCTAGAGGAGAATTGAGGCCAAGACACGTCCACCTGAGTGGAAAAGATTTCAGCGTGAGCAAAAAAATCCACTGAGACAAACTGATGGAAAATAACAAGAACTAGAGTTCCTGTCAAATAAACAAACAAACAAACAAATAAATACCTTATCCTCATATCTTAAGTTTAGTTTCTGACCTCATCACTCCCCACAGGTATGTTAGAGATATTGGGGCATGATGAGTAAATACCTGAAACCCCCAGCAAAGCAAAGAGGGTCGAGACTTATGAAGTTGGTATATCATCCATCTGGCTATAAAAAAATCACACAAACCTAAAAAACCTACAAAGCCAGAACAGAAACTCAACATAGAAATCAAAGACAGCCTCCTTTTAGGAGGTGCAGTGCAGAAACATCTTGGGGCCGTACAGAAGCAACCACAGAAGACAATGTACTCATAATCCAAATTTACTTTTCTAGAAATTTGGAGAATTTATTGACCTGAAGGATGAAGTCTGCTTGGACTACTGACGTCACCACAGTATTTATAAAATCCTTGAAAAATGATAAAAGGTAGAACGCTGAACACCTTGCCGCTATACTTTTGAGAAAGATGAATTAAAGAAAAATATTGGACAATGAATTGCTAAATCTACTTGTCATTGGCACCAAGGACAAACACATCAAAGAACATCCAACTCTTTTTCTGCTTTTCAATGTCAACATACATTTCAGAAAGAGCCCAGAGTGATTTCTACTGGCACAACATTACTCATATGAGAGCAGAGAATCTACTCAAGTGGGTGCATTCAAACAGTCAACATTAACAAAAACAAAGGAATTCTGGGAAAAAGCAGATGAAAAGCGTGATTCGTATCGGATGACGTGATTGGGTGGAGACCCTGGCACACTCTATTCATGGTGGTGAGTCACACAGAGAATTACAAAACAGTTGAAGTGAAGATGAAAAAGGTTGGAAAGAGAGGCAGAGACGGAGCACGGGGGTCACCAGAAAGAGATGAAGAGAGAAGAGAGAAAAGAGAAGAGAGAAAAGAGAAAAGAGAAGAGAGAAGTGAATGGCGAGAGAGAAGAAGATGAAGAAACAACAAAGAGGGATAGAGGGTAGATCAAGAAAAGAGAGAATTTATTGATTTTAGTTCAGACTAGGGTGTAATTCTTTTGAGCCAGAAAATATCAAAAAGAGAGAGAAAGAGAGAGAGAGAGAGAGAGAGAGAGAGAGAGAGAGAGAGAGAGAGAGAGAGAGAGAGAGAGAGAGAGAGAGAGAGGAAGGGGCGACTCCAGAAAAATAAGCTCACATCACAAGATTGTTGTTTGTTCGTATCATGCAAACCCGGGACTGTTTACCAAATGTCACTCTCCTCCCTGTCAATCCACACACACACACACACACACACACACACACACACACACACACACACACACACACCCACACCGACAGATTTTGTATGTGTGAGTGAATACTATATTTTGTTTATTTTTTCTCATATTTGGCTCCCTGTCTGGTGTATCTATACAACACTATGTGTGTGTGTGTGTGTGTGTGTGTGTGTGTGTGTGTGTGTGTGTGTGTGTACGCAGAAACGCCAACTGGTGAGATTTAAACCTCAGCGTGAAACCAAAGGGTGGACAGATGGACTGAACCCTGTTATGTGCACCGGCCCTTAATCTTCTACCTCTCTCCTCCTCTCACGCTTCATCTCTCTCTCCATCCGTCCATTAGTGAGGAGGAAAGCACCTGCCATCACCTTCTATTTTAAAATGTTACACACGTCAGCTAATCTCAGTTTATCATCATATAAATATCACTCCGCTGCCTTTCTATTCTTCCTCTCTGTCATAGTAATTAAGTTATGACATGATGGCGATGTCATTAAAAAGGTTGTGGTGTAAACGTCTTCCTTCAGGTGATTATTAGTCTTTACCTGCAGGTGTTTTTATTTGTGTTGCCCTTCAGAGCTCAAAATGATATATATATTTTTTTATGTCCCAGATTGTGCTCAAAGACTGAAGGAATGTCAACAGAACTTTATCAAGTTTTAATAATACTACAGTGACCTCTAATAACCTCTAAATTAACCCCAAAGTGTTTCTTTCCTGCCATCATGTTGTACATTTACACTTCACGACTTCACACACCAATAAAAAGAGCTGCAGTGTTAGTAAAGCCTGAATCAACTTAAGTAAAGCTGCAACAGTTAATCGATAACTTGTCAACCTGATCATTTCTAAATCATTTTAAGAAATTTCTTCAGAAAAACTGTCCGAATTCTGATTTCAGTATCTTAAACTGGAGTATTTTCTTGTTTCTTTAGTCTTCTTTGGCAATAAACTGAATATCTTTGTCACTTTGGGAAACACTTTTCACCATTTTCTGACATTGTATGGACCAGACAACTAATGAATTAATTAGGAAAAGGATTGACAATCCATTGATGATCAAAATAATTGTTAGTTGCAGCCCAAACTGCTATGTTACGATAACAAGGTCAAAATGTCTCCTTTGACCAAACTGAACTGGAGCGGAGACAGCAAATATTTTGACACAGAAAGTTAGATATTTAGATTCTGTGTGGCTTCAGTTTGGATTTGTGTAACTACACAACATGTTTGTTCTCTCTGTTTGCTTCTCTGTATCTACTGTGCCCCGAACACAACAGGACACTGAACGCTTCTGCCAAGAGAAACAACAGGACTGAAATGAGAATCAGAAATGTTCTACCAATCTGTCCAGAAAGGTCTGCTTGTCCTCAAAAAAACATCAGACGAGTCGCTCCAGGCTCCTGTTGTCCTATTGGACTGTCTCATATTAGACTCAGTGTCAGCTGAGATCTTCAAGTAAAACAAACACAGACTGATTCTAATGGGATTATCAAATGAAATATGTATATCGAACATATACACAGCAGCATGGTTCATAGTGTGTTATGAGGCACTGGAAACAAATGTTACTCAGACAGGAATAAATGTTGTACGAGCTGCAAATCTGGTTCACTACTGAGTAACTCCAACAACAATCTATTTCAGCTTCTTGTTTGATTTCTCTTTTTGCTACAAAGAGTCTCAGTTGAGCCGGCAGCACACTGAAAGGGATTAAAAAGTGAAGTAATGAGAGTAAAGTACTAATGGACGCCACTGTGATTCTCACATTCATCTGCAGAACTGAATTACCTGCAGTTAGTTTTGATTAACTCACCTCGACAGCCTCTGCATTGAGTCCCTTTCACAAAAATGTAATTTGAAAAAAGGTTATTCATTTAAGTGGCAGTGGAATACGATGAATAAAAAACAACATCCCCAAACAACTGTCAACTAATCAAAAGGACAGGACGCAGGCTGCACGATCAGAACACAAATAACTGTCTCTTCCATTTCTTTAAAAATGCATTCATGTTTCTTTTTATACGCGGCTCTGGGTTTCCAACGGGTGATCGATTTGCAGCACTTAGCAAAGAAATGTTTTCTGTGAAATAAGGGATGCTGAAAATGCAGGAGGAGGGATGGGTGAAGATAGAGTCTGAGGAGAAATGGAAGAAGAGAGACATGAGAAAGAGAAGAAATGGATGGGAAATGATGGAGAAAATAAGGAAAGGAGATAGAGTTGGAGGAATGGAAGTAACAAGGGACAGATTCGGCAAATAGAGATGGGAGGAACGTGTAGAAAAATGGAGATGCGGAGGGAGGTGTACATAGAAGGAGTGACAGAAGTGAAAGGTGGAGCGGTAGAAGGGGTAGAAGTGTTGGCATAGAGACAAAAGTAGGGATGGGAGGGGTAGCAGGAAGAATAAAAAGATGATGGGAGAGACAGACAGGTGGGTAAGGAGATGTAAAAGGGGGGCGTAAAGAAGGGATGAGGAGTGAAAAAGGAGGGATAAAATGAGTAAAGGAGAGGGCAGTTGGATTGATAGAAAGGAAGGGTAGAGAGTGGAGGAAGAGGATGGATGCAGTAGAACGAGTGATGGAGTCAAAGGAATAATGGGGGTGTGAAAGTAAGGTACAGGATGAGGAGGGCTAAAAATGGCATGATGGAGGGCCAGGCGGGAGGAAGAAAAGGGGGAAGCTGGAGGAGTGATGCGAGGGGTAATGAGTAATAAATAAGAGGAGGACGAGGAGAGGAAGGGAGGCGCAGTGAAGAGAGAACGAAAAGGACGGATCGAGGTCCTAAACGTGTTTATAGTCATCATTCAGGGTATGGGTGCAGTGTGTTGCCATGGTGACCGGGGCAGAGGTTTGGTGGGGCAATCGATCACTGGGGGGGGTGTGTTGGGGGAGAGAGAGAGAGAGAGAGAGAGAGAGAGAGAGAGAGGAGAGAGAGAGAGTGGAAGGGGCGAGTCTTCATTCATCACTACAGGCAAACTGAGCTGAGGGACAAACCTACTAATCTCCCCCTGCTGAGGTCAGATATACACACACACACACACACACACACACACACACACACACACACACACACAAACGCTTTAAAGGGTCAGTTCACTGCAAAACACACTGTCCTGTTGTGACCAGATCAGGCGGTGTGTGTGTGTGTGTGTGTGTGTGTGTGTGTGTGTGTGTGTGTGTGTGTGTGTGTGTGTGTGATGTAGCAGCTGTGAAACAGTCTGAAAACAATGTTTTATTTCTCGGATTCACCCGCTACCGGTGCTCTCTCTCCCATTAACTATGTATGTAGCTCGACCACCTCTGTCTCCGTCTCTCTCTCTCTCTCTCTCTCAAACAAACACACAAACACAAACCAAAGCAATCTTCTTGGCATCGCTATTTTGCAGCAGCCAGTCACAGACGCTGAAGCTGAGTGCTCGAA